CCCCCTAAATTGCGAATGTAATACTTGAAGGGCTCCACATTACATAGTTTTTGAGAGAACAAACTACTGCATTGAGTTATTCTCCATTGGAGTAGTGGCTCACCTCTGCTAATGGTTAACCCTGTTTGAAACTTTTAAAGAGAGGTAAAAAACTTACTCAAAATTAAGCTGGATAAAGTGAAGTACGGATGATTGCATAGCGACTGTGTAAAAGAGACACTGGAGGTTTCATTGTCAGTCAACCAGTGAAATGCTCCGACTGAAGTGAATATTGATATTACAGCAAGCACCACTGGAAAAAATTCAACCGTTTTAGTGAGAGTTTGAACTTCATTACATGATGATAATCATAGAAATCCTTAAAGCATAAAGTCACTTAATGGCAATTATCAATAAGCGAAGTCTAGGGTGAGCTTCAGCTTACATAAAAGAAATAACACATTCATAATGGAAATATTTTTATCATGAATAATTAGGTATCTCACTTTCTCTTGCACGATTTACTTTGTGGACTGCTCTTTCAAGTGCATACCTACCTGAATATGCATAGATCTTGAGCCAGACAACTTGATACTTAAATGCCCATTTTGTTCGCCGAAAATTCTTCTTGTGCTGTCAAAAAGTGATCAGAGGTTGACCGAGGGGGACACTACTGCCTTGCTAAGATACGTAAAAAGATCTGTTTTGAAGGCACTTTAAAGTGAGCGAGTTTGAGCTATTGCTGTGTATGTTATTGCAGATTATCTTCTTCAATGCAAGAATAATAGCTCCGTCAAATGGTCTCAGTGATGGAAATCTAATTCTTCCTTAGTCTGATTAAACTTGATAACACTTAAAATAAACACAGAATTCAGAGAGATGAGATACTTACACCTCCATCTGATAGCTGCTGGCTGAAGACAAGCAATAACTTCCGTTAACCTGCGCTCAAACGCCTTCAAATCTGGGAAAAAATAAATGAGCTTCCATCAGAGACTAAAAAGTTTGTAAAAAGAGCAAAGTTTACATAAAAACGACAAAAACAATTACTTCAAAAAGATCCGTCCCATCCAAAAGCTCTAAAATTACACATGTGAATATATATGGTTTCAAAAATTTTGGAAAGGACGAAATCACTCAATGCATGAGGAATTTCTTGAGGTTACAACTGGATTGTATACGAATCAGATAAATGTGGAGAAATGACACCAAGTGCTGACTGACAAGCAGACTTACCCTCACAGGCTGTTTGTTCGAAGGACATTTGTTAGGAATGACTTTAAGTGTGACGACGATAAATTGGGAGAGAGACTTAAAGTTTATTCGCAGAACACTCTTTTTTGATGATAATCTCCTCCATAAATCCACCCAAATTCACTTTTCTTAAGTCAATGTTAACAGGACTGTAAATTTGCTCAAGTAAACAAGCTTGGTCGGGTCAAGATTTTGAGACTTGAGAGGTTAATCGGTTTGTTTACGGTTTATGATGATTTCGTGAGCGATGTATGTTGCTACAATAATCGATTTTAAATACACCGCGGGATTTTTGAAACTGCGGCGACTCGCGGATAAGCGAGCCACAGCCACAAGTTCGCAGATACTAGGGTCATCCCGCTAAAAGCCAATCGCTGATTTTAGCGAATTCGCGGATACCGTCGAGGGTCTACTGTATCTCTTACATCTGGCTGTCCGATATGTTAATTTTAATCCAACCGTCGGAAGTATGCATCCCAAGTTAAGTACGTAGTGAATTTCAACGCGTTCTAAAGTAAACTTGTTTCCTCTTTTTTATTTGTTTGGTTGGTTTTAGTTTTATTTTTTATTTATTACATTTTGGATTTCCAACTAATTAGAAACCGCACAAGAATTTGCTTACCTCACCATGTCGAGGCTTTTACAGAGTTGCACTCCCTTTCCTCGCTACCACGAGGCTAAATAATTAAAATTCGTATTAGCTGTTTATCACACACATTTTTATCACGTTGATTCAATCGTGGAATACTCCATTTATCTAATTGTCGTAAATAGCTCGATGATCACTTGGATCGCGTTAAGCAGAAAGGAACCAAGCCACATCAGATATTGCCAAATTTAATTGGGCAGTTCAATCATTTACATGAAAACGCTTGTACGGATTTGTATGCAACTTGCAGTGAATTTACTGCATAGGTAGTGCATAGTACGAAGTAAATTCCTAAAAAATTTTCAAATGAATCCGCACACACGCTCTCCCGTATAATATTAAATTGCCCAGTTTTTGATAATAGCATGATGTGGCTTGGTTCGTGTCTGCTAAACGCGGTCCTATTATTGCACGTATGGGTCAGGGCCGGATTAAGGGGGTGGCCACATGGGCCGCGGCCCATGGCGGAAAAATGTAGGGGGCGGCAAATTTTGCAATCTCTTTGAATGTAGGTATCCAAAAAAAGAAAAAAAAATCGGATTCAGAAAATGAATTACAAACGAGAAAAGGCGACAAAATCTCTGATTTCCTGAGAGTAAAAGTACAGTAATTTCTAATTTTGTTGTCTTTTGGTGATAAAAGAGATAACACCTTTAATTAGTTAAGAGAGAAACCAAACTCGCAATTTGATCCTGAGCGGAGCGGCACAGAGAGCAATGATGATGAGAACTGAGTTGGAAAGGAGAAGCCCTCGGCGCAGCGGTCGGTATGAAACGCATAGCGCCTACAAGACTGCATGAATACTTCACGCATTGCGTCAAACAGTGCGGTCCGCTCCGCAGCGGTGCCAGCGGTCGACGTGAAACGCATAGCGCCTACGAGACTGCATGAATACTTCACGCATTGCGCCAAACACATAGTGCGGTCGGCGCAGCGGCGGAAGTTAAAATTATTAAACCACATTTATGTTTGTTCTTACAGTTCGTTTCTTATATATGGAGGGCCTTGTCCAAACATGGGGTGAGTTTACGGGTTCACTTAACTTTCGCGTAGAGTTCCGTGAACTTTTGTTGGTGTTGACGGGGCTTTCACAAAAAATGTGCCCAACACGAGTAAACGCGTCTCATACATGCCTCCCCCACCGGCACGTTCACTTAACGAATGAGAAGGGGGCGGAAAAATACAGGCGGCCCATGGGCGGCAAGTAGGTACATCCGGCCCTGGTATGGGTCATTGTTGACTGCAAAAAAACCAAAATAAATTCGTTAAATTGTATGATGCTGTCCTGGAGTGGCTTGTAGGCATGGGGCATACCCTATGATATGAAAATTAGGTATAAGAGTAACACGCACGCGAAGCACCTCGGGGGGTTGGACCGCAAAGCTGCCAGGGAACATATAGTTCCCGTGTAGAGGTATGAGTAAATTAAACGAGGGTGCCATGCTTCTCTAATATAGACCACCCAAAATCGACAATGTGCACTGATTTCGATTTTCCCGTGGCGTCGTTTTTCCAATATTACATAGAGTTTTTTCAAAAAGGAACAAACTTTGCCGTCACGGCCACTGAAAATTCCAGTATACGCAACATGACCTTCCCCGTGATTGAGTGGTGAGTATCTTCGTGAAAGGCGTGCTTATCAACGAACACAATTTTTTTTTTTTTTTTTTTTTTTTTTTTTTTTTTTTTTTTTAAACAAACGGGAACAGGTGACCTCAACGCCAAGTAAGTTCGCCCTCAATTTTTAATGTCGGCAACATGGGCTTGCGGAGAGCGGAACAAAAAAAAAATCGAACAATACAGAGGTGAAGGGCTAGGGCTATGCATTGCGATTAGAAAAATTACACAGGATATTTAAAAAAATGGGATAAAATAAAATAAAATGAAATACTGTGCTTCGCTTGGGTGGTACCATTACCATTTGTCCATTATTTACCGTGCTACGTTACCATTTTGTTCATGGTATTACAGCTTCCATGTGGTCGAATGGATGTACCTACTTATCACCACGTAAAATGTAAATGTCATGTTCATTCGGAGTGCACAGAGGAGCGTCGATTACTCAACATGGAGATGCGATTCTAACGCAATGGCAGTTCGCCTACAATTTTCAGGGTAGGCAAGACGAGCTCCGCCGTGGTCGAATAGTGGTATCACTATAAAAATGTCCTAAACTTGCGTAGTACGTATAGACGTAGACCTTTTTGAACGGGAGGGGGGAAAAATCAACATTATTATAACTTTATTTCAACATTTTGACATAATAGTATTTCAATTTTTTGCAACTTTCCTCGATGAAATAATGCTACTTGATTGGGATGGAGTGCATGGACGGAAATAGGAGTGCCGTCCCCCCCTCCACCCGAATTTGCTTGGTCCTTCCCGAGAAATGTGAGGGATTTGCTAAGTAAAGTGCGTGGCATATCTTTCATTTTGGAAAGTGTCTAAGTACTTGGTTCAATAATTCGGTGTGAACAGCTCAAAATTGCGCCCAAGACAACTTAATTCTTTAAAATTTTCCGGCAGAAACCCTCCGAATCTCTCTTTAAAACCAGGTATTTAAAGTCCCGCAGCCCTCCCTTATTAGTGCGCGGTGTCCTCTCTTATGCCCCCCCCCCCCGAAAAGTTCCCAGTTCCGCCCGTGATAGTGTCCTGTTATCAGCACCATTTTGAAGTGTAATCAACGAATCTGAGTGACTAAAATTGAGTAAAATCTTTGGTTGATTTAAGACAATGTACTTAGGTCTGGTTCCTTTTTCCTTCTCATTTGCGCTGTATTCATAATGTATTCTAAATATTTAGCAGAGAAGATTCGCCAGGCAGTAATGTTTCGAAACAAAATCATTCTACATTTGATATTCATGGCCTAGATAAACGTCGCACATTTCCGTTTTGCACGCGAAATACGAATCAGAAAATTGTCAACATAGCATTTTTCCTGCTGCAACTTTCCTTGACTACCTATGTTTTCCTCATTTTGTTTTTCCCCTTTTTTTACTTGTTCGCGCTTAAAAAGGCTCGCCAACGATAACGTATAACATTACACCATGCCATGTCCTAATGTTGATTTTCTTCTTTTTCTCCCTCTTCACGCCGATTGTCTGGCCCGATTCATAAATTCTGCGTGTTTCATTCTCCTTATTTTTTTAAAAATACGTTTATCGCTAATCGTTTTTATCTACAACGGGATATCATGAGTGAAACGTGCATTGCTAGATACACATGGATTTTTTGGTCAAGTTGGCAAAGCACGCATACTTCTTCATTTTTGAACTTTTTCGCTGATGCCAGACACACGCACGCACACACGTCACACTGGACACTGGACACTACAATGTCATGTCTCCGTGTCTGTGTTTTGCTGCTGTTGCCGGAGTGAAGTCTACAGCCTGAGCGTTGTATTTTTTCGATCTGTGTCGCGTGAAGTTGTCTCTTCCCTGCTTCGCTGTAGACCTCGTGGGATTCCTGTGATTTGAAATGTGACTCTTGGTTAAGTACTTCATGTTTTTCTTTTTCCGTGAATTTTCCATCGTTTTCAGTCACCTTCATTACCGGCCCCGAAGCAGCAGCCAGTAAAATGATCAAAGAATTGTACTTTACACATGTTGAGACCCTCGGCGGCCTCCTTTTGGCGTGGGGACAATGTGATAAGGCCATGAGCGAGCAATTGGAGAATAATATCAAACAAGTCGCTCATTTACTGGAACAGAATGTAATAACAAATCCTGTCGGGCAACTGACAAATGCCAAACTCTGTCTCATGAAACTGAAGAACAATGAATATTACCGTGTGAAAATTTTATCTCTTAACAAATTGGAACTTCGGCTCGTATCCGTTTTCCTTGTAGATTATGGTAATACTTTTGAGGTTCGCCTTGAGAGTCTAAGACTCATCGACACCGATGATGCGATGTATCCTTTCATTACTTCAGTTCCACACATGGCTTCCCTCTTCTACATCGCCGAAGTACAAGCACCTGGCCATATGGGCCATGCTGGTGTGTGGCCACCTCCAACGCTGGACTTCCTTAGGCAGACTCTGACCAGTAAAGTTTTCAAATGCGACATTATAGATGCAAGAATCGTCAAGAACCTTATTCACATTTATATCGAGGGAAATGTACCCATAACTATTTCTAAAGTTCTGATTGAAAGAGATATGGCTCAACACATAGCCATTCCTATTCAAGAAGCTCTAATTCAAGCACTCTCTCACAGCCAGCAAACCCTTTTAGCTGGCTCAGCTCCTGTCATCAAGCCTCAAGCATCTGCTATCATGCCGAATATGAATACAGCACCAGTAGTCGCACCAATACCTCCTGTAGCTGCCATGCCTAATGCCATCATCAGTCCTCCCTTGGTACCTCCTCCAGCCCAACCAATGCCTATCTTTCGGAGAACAGCCCCAGCTATCACTGTTTCTCAATTCACATCAGTTAAGTTACCACCTGGCTCTCGACACGCTGTATACATTTCACACGTTGAAGAAGGAGTATTTGCTTTCGCTGTTCAACTCAAGGTAATTTAATTAGCTTTTTCGTATTAGGTAAACCGAATTCACACGGTTCACTTTTCAGTGTGAGGAATCCAGATGAAGGTTGAATAGGTAGTTGAATGCACCATAAGTAATTTTATTCAATTTCCGTTGCTTTGTGATTTTTTCCAGCAGAATTTGGATACTTCTGTCAGCTTCTGGTCTACGACGTTACCTAGGTACTTACACCATTAGCTGGTGCAAAGCCGAATTCACACTAACAAACTTTTCATTCAACTCTTGAATGCAAGTTGTTGTAATGAAAAGTTGGATAGTGTGATACTGATACGAGAAAACGACAATGCAATGAAAAATTTAACAGAAACTTGAATGTGACGTCACATTCAACTGTTTGTCCAACTTACTATGTTGGAAAGTTGAGCAAATAGTAACTGAATCTAATTTTTTTGCATTCAACTTTCCATTTAACTTTCTGTTCAATTTTGTCGTTCACAACACACAGCGTCACATTCAATGAATCGGAGAGTTGGAACGAAATTGTCAGACCGACATCAGCCGACGCTGTATTTTCGTGAACCGAAGGCTGTCGGAAATATCCGAATGCAGATATGATGATATCACACTGTCACAGTTATTGAATCAAATTTTTTTGCGTTCAGCTTTCCATCCAACTTTTCGTTCAATTCTGTCGGATGAAAAGTTTGATAGTGTGAATTGAGCTCGACCGGAAGATTTTGTTTCTTTCCATCCAACTTTCCTTCTAATTGGCTGGAAAGGTGAAGGTGAGGTCACTTTCACATTTCCTTTCAACTTTTCATCCGGTTGTTGTTTTCTCATGTCAGCATCATTTGATCTAACTTTGCATTTGACAAAAGCAGTTGGAAACTTGAAGCCTGTGGATTGGGGTTTAATTTCAAAACATTTCTACTCTGAACATTAGACCCAAATTAGTCAGTCCTGAATATGGAAGATTTTATCAGGGAAGCTTGAAGCAAGCCATTGGTCGGAAGGATAAGGATTTTAAATTTTTATCAACGGAAATCTAAGAGGTTTTATAACCCATTTTCAGCATCAACTGAGCTTAGTTAATTTGTCTGTTAGCTATTCAAACAAGCTTTCCTCTTAATCTTTCAAAACTTCAAATTAAATCTCTCAATTGATAAAAGCAAAATGTTAGCCTCACTTATTCAAGTAAAAACAGTTGTAAGCATTCTATTCTCCTGCTTTCGATTGTCGCAAAATAAATTTTGAGTTGCACAATCTTCTAGCATCAGTAATACTACTCGAAGATTTCACAACAATTTGCTCAACCTGCATGTTTCGAAGGCATCTTTTGTCGTTATGAAATGTATGAATTTAGATTTCACAGTGGTCTTATCATTTATTTGCCGGCCTCCTGTGGTGTAGTGGTTGTAGCACTGGCCCTATGACCAAGAGGTCCCGGGTTCGATTTCCGGCCAGGTGATCTGAATTTGATGGTCTCAGGCAATGGTCACCTGGGGCTGGGGTAATAAGCGTGGGATTAGCCGATAGGCTACTTGAAATTGGTAAAAAAAAAAATAAATAAATAAAAAATTTTAAAAAAAAATTACTTTGTACTGTAGGTTCATTTATTATAACTTGTCTATTAATACTTACAACTGATCAATTACACCATAGGAATTTTGCCCTTGTTACTCAGCAAGACCTGCCCTGTAAGTTATTACCCAGTGTACCAGTTGTATTTTTGGAGAAAATCAAGTCCCCTTGAACAAATTTTTTTCTCTGCCCAGGGTGATGCTGATGATGTACTTCCTGATTTAATGCTAGAAATCAATCAGAATTACAAGCCTGCGCCAGTCGAAGGTGTTTTGATGCCTGGAACACTATGTCTTGCTAGGTACACCTCAGATAAACTTATTTGTCGAGCCGTCATAACTGATGTCATGGGAGATAAAGTCAAAGTATACTATGTTGATTTTGGCAATTGGGAGTATTTACCACCATCAGAAGTCTTCTCAATTCCTCCCAAGTAAGTTACCAAGAACTTATTTTTGTATCCTCACTTAAGTTCATAACTCTGAGCCATTATGTGGAAACTTGCAGTTGCCCCTGCCCCCTTTTCTTTAACCATGCTATACTTTAGCAGAACTCATTTTCACTTAGAGAAGCATTGCTTGGCGGCAGGGCAATGGATCTGTCTATTTCCGAATTCTCCGTTTCAAAGTCCCAGAATATTTTTTGATGATTTTATTTTTGCGTGAATAGTGATGCAATTCCATAGTCCAATTAGAATTAGGAAATAAGATGTTGAGCCTGTCTCAGTAGCTTCCACCAATTTCAATCATTCAATTTTATTAGAGTCCTAATTTGATGACCTAGGATGGTACGCAAGTCTCATTTATTGAATTACACCTTTACCATGTGTGCATACTTTTTTCAGATATTTAACGCAGAAAGTGATGGCTTCAAAATTTTCCCTGGCTGGTGTAAAAGATGATCCTGATTGGAAACTGAAGGCCATCAAAGATTATTTTCAAGAATATGCCGATCAGAAAGAATTTATTATGGATGTAATAGCAAATGAAACATCTTCACTCACACAATATTGTAATTTATACTACGAAGGTCAAAACGTTAGAGATATACTGAAAGCACAAATAGAGAGAATTGTACCATTTGCCTATCGTGACCCACCAAATCTCACAGTGTAAGTGATTTACTTATTTATTATTTGATCAGTAAGCTTGAAAAAGCGTGCACTCTTCACGAAGCTCAATAATTATTAAAACTCTAATTATTATACTAAAGATGAGGTTTGAATAAATCAACTTTTTCAGAAGTTTGATTCACAACTACACCTTCATATTGCCATATTTACAACAATTTTAGAGCGGTCTGAACATCTTAAATTACTTGAAATATCTTTTGTTTTGCCAACAAATGAATTTCAGAAGCCTTTGAGTAACAGCTAAACCCTTCGAATAACACTGTACCTCAAGTAAGTAACTTATTTTACCTTAGTTGAGCAGCTAATCAATTTCAATCCTGAACGAAATATTATGGAATCGAGTGTCATAGGGTGAAAATGCTGTACTACAGCAACTTGTTCTATGGGTTAAAATAAGACTTAACTCCCAGAAAGTTTTTCCGGAAAGCCCTCAGTAGAAGCTCCAGCCGTCCCAAATTTTTGGGATAGTCATTTTTTTATCTAAATGTTAGCAAGTGTTATGGACCAAAACTCATGTAAGATGACACCCCCCCTCATAATTTTTCCATTTCATTCATCCATAGCTTCAACAAAATCGAGGTTTGGAGTTAAAGAAGAGTTTAGGGAGGTCTTGAAATCCTTTGGGCCAAAAAGGAGGATTTTGCCCTATAAAGATTTAAGACCGACAACTGAGGCCATGAATGAATTTGATGCCAAAAATTATGGAGTTTGCCATCTTTTATGAATTGGTTCCCAAAGTTGGCGCTATCAAGACAAAACAATGACTATTTTGGTGAATTTAGAAATTTTGGGAGGCAGCATTCACTGGGGATGCTTAAAGGGGACAAAATTTACACAAGATATTTCCAAGACATTTCACAAAGTCTTATGTTGCCCCTAGAACTTGTTCATGCAAAATGGCCGCCGATCAACCCTGAGACACCCTGTATATTTTGTGTAAAATTTCAGAATTTTATTTTTCATGGAATTTTACAACCTAGATCGAATCTTATTTGTCGACGATCGTAGGAGATTGATAAGATAAAATGTAATTGTTATCACTCTCAATCATCTTAACAGAAATGGAGATAAGGAAAAATCCCTCCTGGAAAAGTCTGTTTCCGTCAAGTGGCTATGCCTTTATTGGGAGGTTTAGTCATCTGTAAATCATTAACTTTTCTTACGGAAATATTTGACAGTCAGAAGATAATTTGCAACTTTGATGGCAGAAAAGCTGTACCCCCGTCTAAGTTTGCACCCGTACTTCGTCATAGCATCGTAGATTTTCATGTTCATTTCTTTAAATAGTTTCATTTTTCCTCCACTCCTGTCAGTGTACTTCTTACTTAAAATGATTTTCTTAATATTTACTTTAATGAGTAGAACTTCAAGGACAAGGAAAATGCCAATCCAGCAACATTTAGCTGATAATATCATGTTTGTTTTTTTTTTTATCTTTTTTTGAAGAATCTACTGTGGAATTTTTCAAAATTTGCTCTTAACCTAATATTCATTAGTTCCTTTTCTTTGTTTTTTGCAGTGGCAGCTTAAGCGATGTTATTGTAACGTTCGTGGAGTCACCAATGAGATTTTTTATTCAGCTAACAAATTTTAAAAAAGATTTGGATACGGTAATGTCTGCCATTGATAGTTTTTGTAACAGTGCGAGAGGTGCCTCAGGAATGATAAACCCTGATGATGCTAGTCTGAATCTACCCTGTTGTGCCTTTTTTGATCAAGATCAGAAGTGGTATCGAGCTCAAATATTAGACAATTCAGACACATCGGCTCTAATTGTTCGTTATGTAGATTTTGGAAATGAAGAGACGGTAAGCAGCACTTACTTCCTGTTAAATTTCCGTAAAATTGGCATAATCAATACCGATTAAAAAGAGTGATTTTACTGAACTATGTTGCAGAAATGTTACAAACCATTCTTTTGGCAGACCATGAGTGTTTCCTACCACTCCAAAAAATTACTCAAAGATAAAAATTTTCCAGTTCTGAGGAATGTGATTTGTGAAAACAGATCAAGTACTCATAGATTTAGTGTAGAAAAAAATAATAAAAAATTAAGCGGTATGTGCAAAGGTATAGTACAACAGAGAACAGAATGCAGGACTTAACCTTCAATAAATTCAATAATGAATACTTCTAGCATTCCTCAGGTGCATTCTAGATTCTAAATCAATAGAAATGACAGTCGAAAAGACAATATTTACAGCCATTCAAGTCAGAAAGTCAAATAAAAGGTCGGATTGTCATACCAGACCCTCTGCTAAGTGGGTTATAAGTAGGTGGATAGCTGTGTTTCAAATCGCAAAAAACCTATAGGAATGTGAGTAGAAAGACCTTTTGGCGCCAGTGTAATACTAAATTATTTTTGCAGGTCCCTTTAAACTCATTGAGACGCATTGAAAAGAGACTGGTGACAGAATTCTGTGTCCAAGCAATTGAATGCTGTCTGAAAGGTTTTGAGTCTGTTGCTACAACACCTGAAGATGAAGTTATTGTGCACTTCGAAGCAACAACTCTGGAACAGCCTTTCAAGATGAAAGTGATCGGTGCACTGTCAACAAAAACTATTCTAGTGGATTTATTCAATAGTCAAAACCAAAGCATCTCTTCAATGATGAAGAACTACAAACCTGAGGCGGAGGAACTCCCAGTACCACCTGTAACTGTGAAGACAGAACCTGTTCAAAATCATGAAGGTAATCTCTAAACTTTTTCAGATTCTTCTTTCAGTCATGGGTGAGGTACACCTGTTGCTGAATTTAGTAGTATTGATACATAAATCTTACAGGTTTACTTAACCTAATAAGTTGCTAAAGGCATTTTTCTACATATGAGGACTTATCTGTAACAATAGCGGATGTCGAGTTTTCACATTGTGAGGAAAGCGCATTTGAAGTTTTCGAAGCTTTGCACTTTGCCGCCTGTAGAACCGAGAGGATTCTTATAAAGATTTTCATGAAGAGTAACCCAATCTGTAAAAAACACGCGTTTTGCGATCTATGTAAGTGAAAAATTGAAGGAGTAACAGCGATTCGAAAAAAATGTGACATCCGCTGTTTTTACTGAAAACTTTTTTTATGCATGAAACAAAGTCTTCAGGAGGGTTAAGGCTGGTGAAACGATTGAAATGAACCAAAAGTAAGTCAATGCTGAGTCATTCAATACAATTGAGCCAAAAGCTAAACCGTTCGTAACTTCTAGAACAAAAATAAGGGACAAATTATAAAATCAGTTAAAAAATCAACAATTCTGGCGAGACTGTCCCGATTCGTATAATGTGAGTGTCAGCTATAGCCCATGGTCGGTGCGCGGGCAGTTATCGCAAGTAGATTCGAATCTCCACCATATCCTGCCGCGCCAGCGGGGGAGAACAGTGGATTCTCACATCCGCTGTTTTTAGAAATAACATGGTTTTCAGTTTCTATCTCGCCGAAAAATTGTTCTAGAAGTCTGAAACTTTGCACAAGCATTCTTGAGGGCTCCAGAATTCGAAAAAAGCGTGTGCCCTAAAAATGGCGGATGTCAGCAACCTCTGTTGTTACATGTAAGTCCTCATATACGTCCACATCAAATGGAGATGGAGTCCTTGCCCAAAGCATGAAAAATGGTTGGCATTGAGAACTTTTTGCAGTCCTGTATGGGAAATAAGTATCGTGCGCAATTTTTTTAATTTATCATAACTGTCAGCAAACCCAAAGCCTCGACTGTGTTTGTCATGTGAATGTGCTGTATGGAACCCTTAAAAACCATTTTTTTTAACATGGAACATCTTGTTTTCAGAATGGAACAATGCTCAGAATTCCACCGAACAGAAGGCAGCCTCCAAGTAAGTTATGACAATCTATTCTCTGATACATTAGCAGGGTAACAGTAGCAATACAAGAATTATCAGACATCTGAAAAACTTGAAAACACAAAAATGTGGAGGAATTGTCCAACTTAACGTAGTAATGTCTAAACTTACCAGTGATATGAACTTAGCAAACTTTGACTTCAGCTAATAACTTGTACATCCCTCTCATGGGAGGGCCTGTAACGGAATCCAATATAATCGTTAATTTAATATGAATGGCGCCTTCAATTTGTTAAAACTGTAAAGGCTTAATGTGGATCAAGACCTTATAGCATGAATGTTGAGCTCTTCTTCTTCCTAATGTGAATCGATCCTTTTTTAAATCCACCGCTCAAACTAAAGCTCAGAGAAAGACTAAACTTTGAACAGGTCATCAATCTCGCATCGTTTCCAGTCAAATATAACCAAAAAAATTTTATTTTACCAGATTTAAATTAAACTCATCTTATCAACAAAATCACGACTCGTGGTCTTCCAAGAAAAAGTTTCAAAATTACTCTGATGGATCTATGAAAAAACACCAGGGTAAACCCTTAACCCGGTAATTCATTGACTTTCCTTGTTTGATGTCAAGTGTGCGTGTGACACCAGTCGTTTTCCTTCCTGCATAGATTGGATTTTATTTTTCACACCTGAGCTGAGCTAAAAGCTACCTTTTTCCTTTAATATTTTCATAGCTTAGATCTAAGTAGTTCCAAGTATTTTTGAACATTCTAGATTATTCCCTTAATCATGTGCCAAAATAATCTTTACACTGCATGAATCATCCGAATTTCATTATTTTCATTCGCCAGCTTCTGTTAAGGCACATTTTATTTTTGTAATATTTTGAATGTACAAGTAGCCTCAGTGGAGAATCATTTTACTTCGTATTGATATAGACTGATGATTTGCTTTAGTCAACATAGAACTTGCATCTTGCTTTAGGCATTCTGAGTTGCCCTTTTGAATTGTGCCTGCATGTTACCAATTTCAATATTTATCTTACAATTTCCTTCACAGGGGTGCTAAAACTTCCCCACCACACAACCTGCCCGGCCATTTGCTGGTTGCTTGAAACGAGAGAATCATAGAGAGAATGGGAAAAATTGAGGGAACTTCCATGTGTAATGGGCTGAAACAGGGAACCTCGAGTGAATTTAAACGTTTGTGCGGTTGAAAAGTCCGATTTTCAGGTTAAAGGTTTTTTTCTAGTTTTCACGGAAAAGTTATCCTGAATTTTGGTTAAACATGGGTGAGGGTTTTTTGAATCAGGGAGAAGGTTTGGAACTTTCTGTACCCCTGTTCCTTCAGTTCACAGAATGAGGCATCTAACTCCTTGACCTGTCCTCCTTATCTGTTTAATTCGTACAGCACCCCTGTTCCCTCAGTTCACAGAGTGAGACATCTACCTCTTAGATTATTTCTCCTTATCTGTTAAGTTCGTACGACATCATTTCATCCCATTTATGTTACATCATGTCACAGGTTTATCCTGTTAATCGAACCTGTGACAGAGCACATCCACCTACAGCATATCAGTAACTATCTAGCATTATATATGCTGTTTAAAGGCATTTCATCTTGCCTTTTTTAGGTGTACAGGATTTTCAAAAAAGTTCCCATGCTTTCATGTAACATTTATTGAGGACTTCCAAGTTTCTTTTGCAAAGCTAATCGGTGAAGACTAAAGAAGAAAGCCATCATAGCTTTTGTGTAGAGGCTGTCAGACCACACTTTAATCATTATAGAAAAGAAATTATTTGTTCTCCCGTAGAGGTGTTCTATTGATGAAAATTTACAATTTCAAGGGGACCAATTATTAAACTTCTTGAGAGTCTCTGAAAGTGGCACTGCACTTAAATCTTGACTAAAAACAGGTAATCAAAATTTTATCTTCATCTAAAGGATACGAAAAACTAGAGCTGAAACACAAAATTGTCATTTTTGGCAGGAGGATATGATTTCTTCATAATACTATTTTCGTGCAAGGCTTGTGATTGTTTTTCAGGTCTTAAAAAGGTATGCCAATAAAGGCTACAAGCATAGGTATGTTCTCAGTAAAGGCGAATCGCTGGTAACTTTCTAAAAGCCCCTCTCAAAGCAGGAAATTTCAGAAAATGACTACCACGCCTTTTGTCATCAACTGTAACTTTGATATTCTAGCCGCAATGTTAAATGCTAATCTTAATCTAAATCTAGATGCAGCTTAAATCCAAATGTGCTCCTTAATCCTTGCATATGTTTTGTTTTTTCTTAATAGTGAAGACAATTGGAGAAAACCTCGCAACGAAGACAACTGGCGAAATAATGGTAGCGGAGACCGGAAATTTGGAGGTGGTTTCAATAGCCGAGGCCAAGACAACGATAGGTTTGACCGTGACGGTGGCTTCAAAGGCCGCCGAGAAGGTGGTTTTCAACGCAATGAAGAAAGACCCAGCAGAAATCAAAGCGATTGGAGTGGTCAAGATGGCGGTTTCAAAGGTCACAATCGTGATGGTGGTTTCAAAAGTCAGACAGACCGTGGTTTCCACAATAAGAACGATAACAGTAACTCTGATGATTGGTCCAGTGGTCAGAAACAAAGCAGCAACAATCATACTGACTGGTCTGGCGGTCAAAGTAGCAATAAGGATACTGATTGGTCAGGTGACCGTCCTAAAAGTAGTAGCAGTGGTGATCGCCCAAGCTTTCAAGATCGCGGGGATTCTGGTTTTGGCGGTCGACCTAAAAGGTGAGTACATTTGTGGAAAGAGCTTTTTTCCGGGGATGATCTTCAATTTTAAATTTTAATCAATTTTTTTTAATTTCCCCACATGCTGCTGTTCTTTGACTAAAAGATCTGTATTGAAGATTCGGATACTGCACTGCTTAAATTAATGTGCTAACCACAAGATGTGTACCTTAAGTCACACCATACCCATTAGCTTTTAGCATGTTGTACTAAATTGTGAATAAAGTAAAATTAAAGAATTAGTACCTGAATATCGTGCGGCAAAATACAATAAGCATGGTCAAAATGTTTGCACTTAATTGTATCTCATTGCCGAATACATATGAGAACTTAGAAAGCTATGAATTTCATCACAAGTCTCAAATTTAAGCACATTACACTTGCTGTAATTCATGATGTTTTTTCAGAAATCAAAGTTCCTTTTTTATGTACCTTGTATTTGTGTGTATGTGTAGTTGAGTCTCAATCATCCAGATTAGTTGGGAATAGACCTGGTCTACATGAACCAAAACCTGAATAAATGGAAAAATCAGTCAACTCTAAGTCAAATAAAAACTGTGTGTATGTAGAGCATGCAATTATATGAAGGCAGGCTTGAAAAAGTCAAATTTTTTAAAGATAGGTGTACAGAACAGATCTCAGTCCATCACTCAACCTCTGCACCATGCATGGCGCTCAAGTTTTGGCCACTGACTCCTTCAGTCTGAATAATCGACAATGCAGATATTGGCAGTTGGGATGATCTAAACTCAGCTAATTAAAGAGAATGAGGTATCATAGTAATACATGGATGGATTTTTCTTCTCTGAAATTTTTAAAGTATTATATTTTTTCAATTTTGTCTGCTATCTATATCTGTCTTTGATAATTTCTCAGGTTTGAAGGTGAACGTAAATTTGGCGGTGATAGACATTTTAATGACAAGAAAAGTGATGATGGATTTGAAGGCAAGCCCTGGAAAAGCAGAGGTAACTTAGTTGAAACTTTTCTTAATTTTCTCGTAGATCTGATGGGTATCCTGAACATTTTTTGAGACGGCACAACTCAAAGCAGAGAATGAAACCTAAGAACAAAAAATCGTTTTTTTTTATCTTAGATTTAGTGAAACTGCAATAAAACAGTTTGTATAGGGACCCAGTGAATGTTCCGAGTTGAGTAGGTTGCCGGCCTCAACAGGTTTCCTCACTTTCCATCATGCATTTTGCTATAGTGTGCCCTAATTTTGACGAGCAATTAACTATGCACTGCAAATATGCACTAGCTATGTACTAAACTAATGTGACAGCACCCATTTTATGTGGCCAGGATGTGTCACAAATTGAACACATTTATGATTTGAAGGATGTACAGTTAAAACGTAATGGTATGTGCAAATAAATACAGATTCTTGTAAGAGGCTTCAAATGGACATCTTGTAATGCCGATGTGTTGCTTGTTACGGTACTCAATCATTGGCGGAATCACGACCGTTTTCCAAAAAATTCAAAACATTCCGAAGAACAAGGAGGCAGTGATTTTACTCTGTTGAAAAATGCAGGAAATTTCACAGGGAGAAAAGTCAGACACTCAAGATTTAGGTCATCTAATGTTCCATTTTTTTTGTCAAAGAGTATTCCGAAAAAGTGTGCACAGTGCCCCAAAAACATTGCTCAAGTACCATAAACGAAAATGAAGCCTCTTCATGGACAAACTGTTCGTAAGTCTGAAATTGTTAAAAGGAACTTACTCTTGTCTGTGGTTGTCTTGTTTTGATAGCATTTTTCCACTTGATAAATTTCATTCTTACTATCTTCTCCCCTCTCTTTGTTTTTCAGATGATTTCTCATCCCGCCCTTTCAAACCTGTAAGTATTTATTTAAACTTAGTCTCTTTTCCTTTTACTAGAAATGAACTTTACCATAAAACTAAATTCCAAGATGGAACAAAGATAAGCTGAAACCAAAATCCTAGGAACTTTCATTCAAAAGGCCAGTCGATGAAATCTTTAATAAAAGTAGACTTTTTTGCATATTTTTTTGATGATCTCTGTCTGTTGATAATTAAGAGTCCAATAGTCCAAGAGTCATCTCCAAGAGTTTTTTTTAATATAACTTGCAGAATGAAGGTATAGTGCAAACGTTAATCTTTGAGTTATCTTGGACATCTCATCCAGTTTCCTCTAACCTCGTGTTAAACAAGTTTTTTCACGGATCATAGTTATTGATTTTCTACAAGCGATTGAGCGTGTAATCTTAACTCTTGTACGTTTTACTGATGTTATCCCTGGGACCATCCTTATCTACCCTACATTAGAATAGGCTGAGCTTTATTAAATAACAAAAATTTGTGTTTGATACAGACAAGAGAACCTGGTTTTCCGGCGGGCTCAACTTTCAAGCGTGATGCATGGGAGGTTGGCGCAGAAAATGAAGTACAAGTTTCATGGTCTGTGACTCCGAGTGAGTTCTATGTTCAACTCTTGAGTACTCACTCCAGTTTCCGTGCAATGATGCAGGCTATTCCTCAAGAGTACAGAAAGAGAGAAAAAGCTGAGCCAAGCTCTTTAAATGTTGGAGATTGTGTAATAGCTAGATCTGATGAAGATAGAGCTCTTTACAGAGCTCAAATCAAGGAGTCTTCTTTCGGAAGTAAGTCTCTTATTGGTATCTATTTGATTGCAGTATTATTAGTAATCCAGATTTGCTACTTCAATTTAACATGAAGCCACTTGCATTTCTTTTTTCTCTTCCTTCCTTCTTTCTTTCTTTCTTTCTGTCTGTAATTTTAGTAGAAGGAAGAAACACAATATGACTGTTTCGCAAAAAATTTTCCTATTTCAAGGTGATTTGAAGTTGTAATAAGTTAAAATTGTTTTATAAGATCCAAAAAAATTGCGCAAGTGGTGAAGTGCAAGAACCAAACTACAAATCTTGCTGAGGTTTTACCTATACATATTTCTCCACCAATTAAACTAATGAAGTTTTTAGTACCATGTATTTTACAGTGCACTGCTAAATCAGAGGTAAATGTCTATTCAAACTTAAAAAAATGCTTCAACCAACAAATTTCGTTGAAACTCCTCTAAAAGAACCAAATCTGGCTGAGAATGCCCTCGTTCACATCAATACATCATCAAATCAAAGTTAGAAAAATTTCCAAAATTTCAAGCTTAGAGAAATTAAATGGAAATCTTAACATGGGGTCAGTTACAGGTCAAATGAATTTAATGACCAATTTGCCTCAACATTTGACTAAATGTCTAATTTGGCTTTTAGCCTTTGACATAGATGAAAGAGACTGCTCCAAACCCAACTGCGAACCAATTGTTTGGTATATGGACTTCGAGGGTCAAAGATATTGTAAATCCAAAGCAACATTTCTGAGATCTTACAACTCAGATTTTGAGACATAATGTATAACTTATGACCAAATTAAAAGTTGACAGAAACAAATTAATCCTAGCCTACTGAGGTACATTTGCTGTATATTGTAGCTTCCTCTCATAACACAGAATTGTTTGCTATTCTTCACAGCTCTGAAGGTGGAATTTGTTGATTATGGAAACTGTGGAACTGCGGACGAAAAGTTCATCTGGAACATCAGCAGTGACCATTGCGAACTCCCGTGCCAAGCTTTCACCTGTAGTCTGAATGGTATCGCCCCTGCTGATGAGTCTGGGGAATGGCCAAAAGATTTCAAATCCAAATTTGATAAACTGTTCGAGGCAGACAAATACCTTTGCACCGTCGTGTCACACAACGAAGAGAAAAACCTCTACCTTGTAAATTTACTGAATCTAACAGACAATACAGATGTTGCCCAAAAGCTGATTGAGGAGGGTGTCGCTGTCTCCACTTTGCAGCAGCCAGCAAGTCTTGAAAGTAAGTTTTTCTCATTTTGAATTGTCCTTGTTATAATAATGCTAATAAACCAGGTTTTTAAGTTCAAATGTAAGGAGAGGATCATTTCATTTGAGAAGAAGGGAGATTCTCACACAAAATTGCTTGGAAATTTAAATGCATCACAGACAGGAACCATGTAAATACATGAGGAAGCCCCTATAAGCCTAGCCTGGTCTTAAAAATGGAAGCATTTAAACTGAGAAACTCTTTATTATTTATACTATTGAAATAAATTAGGAAAAACGCCCTCTCATTTTCAAATTTTACAGTTTTCTCAATTTTTTCTACTCAAATTGAACTCAGGATGCCTCATTGAGAAATGGTTTCTTAAAGGGGCCTCAGTCAACCACAGTCCTTTAGATAATATGCGCTTCATAGATCGAAACCTGCCAAGGCAGATATATCTTAGTCTTGGCATAATCATTTACTTGGTAATGCAAAAATTTCAAGCCTCTCAAAAATTTTGGGGAGACATGATGCAGATTTAAGAGGCCAAATCAGAAAAATGTTTGAAAATTTACCTCTCAAGTACGGAGAACTGTAACACACTGCACTCTATGAACGTATTTTCAATTTTATATATAGCTCTATGAAGAATGCTGTGCAAACTGCATTGATTCTCTTGCTCAAGTAAGTAATTAAGTTGCAAAAATTTTGTTGACTTCGCATTTTAACCTCCTTTCATGTTTTGAAACTCGGGGCAAAGACAGGATAATACTTGTCTGAAGAACCTCCGCTGGAGCTTGGTTCGAACCCATTTTTAATGCACTTCTTTACGGAACATTCCTCTCAAATTGACATACATACATACTTTTCTGAGGACAACATGCTCAAAATAACAAGTAATTCTTTCGTATGTACTTTGTAATAACAATTTTATGCAGTGTTCCTCTGCTAGAGATGCATCGAAAAACTGAGAGCGGAGATCTGCATAACATTCTTGCTCAAAACACTTATAAAATGGTTCTCTACTTCTTGCAAAAATTGGTTTGAGCTCTGAAAGTCATCATTAAAATATGAACATCGGACGTTAAGTTACGAGCCATTCTTGTTCTTAATTGATGGTGCCCTCTAACTCATCATTGAAAGTTGATCGTCAAGAAGTTTTTCGGTGAACCTATTGCCTTGCCCTGTTATTCGATAGCTAAATATGTGATAAACTTTTCAGGTGAAGACCCTGTTGATCTATCACTTCTACTGAACCAGACTCATTGGGCTCACATGTGTGCTGTTGTGTGCAAATCTCAGTTCTTTGTCCATTTAGAAAAGAGCAAGATTGATTCTATACAGGCAGCGGTGGATACGTACATGGCATCTTATCTGAACAATGTAAGTTACGTGTATTCATCGCGTATATTTTATACCGATAAATACGTGGAATTTTTAGCTTCGGTTTTTTGTTTTTGTTTTTGTTGTTAGTTTTAAAAATTACCTGATGATGGCTTCTGCTGAAGCCGAAATGGCCATAGTTAAATAGTGACAACCAAAATTTGCATCGGGCGAAAAAGGAAGAAAAAGTAAATGTAAGTTGCTTTGTCCTAACTGAAGTGCTGGGTGCAGAAAGGCTTTTCCATGACGCAATCAAAATGGAAAGAGTGAGCTTTTTGCTTTCATTGTCGTCACTTCATTGTTTTCTTGAGAGTGTTTCGTTGAGAATTGTAATTTGTTGAATGGAATTCTTGCATATGTCAGGAATATGCGCTTTAAGTTCTATTCGTCGTGCAATTTTTGCAAGAAATAGGTTATAGCCATTTATTTCCTCTGAAAGGAACTCGCAAGCTGAAAAAAAGCTCTCAAAGTTGAGGCCGCACTGAAGGGTATCTGAGAATTAGAAAACCTTAACCCGCCTTTTAAGTTAGGCATTATTCCGAAACTGTTCAACTGAGCGGACTTTGCAATTTAAATTTGCTTGAATTTTTGTGTTTGGGAATGAGTGACGGTTCCGAGGTGGAGCCGATATTTCCTATAACAAAATCACTTTTTCAACCAAGTGCAATCAACCACCCTTAAGCCGTGTTATGTATTTATTTGATCGTATCTCTAAGCATATTGCATCATACCAAAAAGTGATGTAAATCAAAAATAGAACAGAGTTTGATTTCTCTAAAAACCATTTATCCAAACCAAGTTTCTGTTCCTGAACAATTGCAGTCTAAAAATGCCAAGAAGTTAGGGAGGATGCTATAAATTTCCAATTGATAATGTCACATCAACTAATACTGCAATATGTCAAAGCTTTTTGAAATGTATGAAATCATCAATGCAATGGCTTCTTATTGAAGTGAAGCAAAAAATATTTTGCATTTCTTATTTATCTTATGATCTACTTTTTTGTCCAGGAAACAGCCAAATTAGCGGAGAGCAAAATCAGGCATGGTGAATACTGCATTGCCAGTCCTGATGGAGAGTCTTGGTACAGAGCTCAAATTACTGATTTGAATGGAACTACTGGTGTCATAGTAACATTTATCGACTATGGAGACACAGCTGATGTTGCAAGAGACAGTGTAAGTAAAACTTGACAGAAGTAGAAATTTGCACATAAGTGTGCAAGAATTTTCCAGGAATAAAATGAGAAGACATTTGAATGATGAATGTGGGACAAAAAATGATGAACTTTAGGTGTTCATAGGTACTAAAATAAAATATCTTCATTTGTCTGCATGATTTCCAGCAGTTAGGAAAACCTGGTTGGCAAGGGAAAGTTACTAGTTAGGAATATAGTGAGCAGCGCTTTGGCTCAGCAACTTCACCTGGTGCCATTTATGAGAGTGGAACTTAATTGCTTTTTTGCAACTGTATTGCTTTTACCCATAATTTGAATCTACAGAAGTGAAAATTTCTTCCATAGTTCAGCAAAAATGAGCATAATTAAAAAGAACAAATATAAGTGGAAGTTTTTTCGACAGTCTGAGAAAAGTCAGGGTATTCAGAAATTTTTGAGTCAAAGGAAAGCAAAAAAGGTCAGTGCATTAGAAAATGAAGATTTTGTAGAAACTCTGGTCCATTGTGGTCGAAGTGTACCAAACTTTTCTGTTGCTGGTCACACCTTTCCCACAGATACCTCTAATAGCATCAATTCTGTAAGCATCATGACGTATGTCATCGTAATTGAATGCGTTTAAATCGAATCAGCCTCTCTAAATTTCATAATGCCTAATTTTCCTCTCATATTATTAATTTTTCCAAGCAAAAACTGTACTATGTTTTGCTATCACGTTTTGTGAGAGTGTTCTCCAAAATCTTGAGCACAAAAAAATTCAAGGCATTAAATTGTTTAATGGGTCAGTTGATCTTGGGAGAAATTTGCCCGCAAATTTTTTTGAGTTTTCGATACTATGTAAATAGTGCGCACTATAAAATTGCACCAAAAATCGTCCCTGCAAAGAAATAACACTTTCTTTTGCAAGGTTGTTCATGTTTGAACTGTCCGGTTTGTTACTGCCATCAAAACCCAATTTTATGCGCCATACATGAAGAAAAGGTGGCAGCGTAGTTTACCCACTAGCTACCACCACGCTGCTGTTCGAACAATTGATATGTTGTCCACGAGATTAGAGATTAGCTCTGTGGTATTGTGATAAAGTTTTAAACATCATGAATGTAGGGTTGGGGAACTTTGATAAGAACATTAACTAACAGCTAAACTTACCTGCATGGCCTTGCCCATAACGACATGCTGATCAACAACACACAGGAATGCGACGGTCTTAGTATTCTTCCACCACTTATTTTGCTGCCATGTTGATAGAGACACACACATTTGATGAAAACAAGAGCGCTGTTAAAACCTCTTTTTTGTCTACCCTAATTTTTGCACTTTCAAGTAAACTTCTTTCCCTGTTGCTATTCCATTTAAAAAAAAAATCAAAAAAGACTGTGAGCTTAACTCTTTTAATACTAATCAAATGAGACAATGAAAAAAAGTGAATCAACTGACCCAGTTTTGGTTAGAAGAATAAAACATGAGGGAAAGTTTGCAACATAGAATACAGTCCGGATGATTCTCGCATAAGCTCTGCAATTGTCATTTAAGAATGTCTAAGGCAGGCTTTAATTCAGCGCATTAGTCTCCTCCTCGGGGAAAAGTTCTGAAGTCAGTTCTTGAATTTTATTAGTACATTGTGCTGAACAAACTTTCAGCTCTTGCGGCATCCTCTGATATTTGATATCTAGCAATACTTAATTTATGGTTATCTTTTGATAAATTTTAGCTGTATACAATTTATGATGACCTTCTGATAAGTCCTGGTCAAGCAATCGAATGCTGTCTCCCAGATGATGCAGATGTTGACACGGAAAAGCTTGAAAATTACATGGAAAATGAAGACACAGCAATAATCATTCGTATTCTTTCATTGAATGAAACCAACAAGTAAGTTATCATTGGTTTTCTTTGAATTTTTTTTTTTTTTTAATATTCAGAGAATATTTTTGGTCAAAGAGAGGGAGGGTGTCAGTATTTTGTAAAGATAAGAAGAGTTTCAGTTTACCTATTCGCACACCAGCCTTTGCTTGCAGTACCTAGGAATAAAATTAAGCGCAAATTGGAGCTCTTTTTGACTCTCTGTCCCCTAGATATTCATGGTCAAAGTGTGTACTGAGCCTATCGTCATTAATTCATAGGTGTCATTTCTTAGGTGAGAAAGACCTGCAAGAGGGTCCTCTGTACAAGAAGTAATGGGGACTTAAAACGTTTGAAGCATCTAATACTGTCTTAAAATCGGAGAACACTACAAGTTATATATAATACCTCTGTCACACTGTGGGTCACTTGAAGAAATTTCTTGGAGAAACAGTATTTCAATATTGATCAAATTTAAGAACATAGTTTACCAGTAAAGTCGTCCTCAGTGGTGTAGTGGTCAAGGCAGTTCGCTACCAACACTGAGGTCCTGGGTTCAATCCCCGGAGGTGACTGATATTTGAGGAAATTCAATTATCAGTTATCGTGAACGTGGATGACTATGCCACTCCAATACCCTGACCCTTCAAGGTAACAGGGTGCGGGAAGGACATAGTCACCCAGTAAGTAATCCGTCTGCACTGTTCGACTGGGTTATGAAAAAATCGGTGATCACTCGTAGTGTGCACGACTGCCAGCGCTACCTATCAGTGGAGATTCTAACAACACAGTCCAACTCGAAGGCATGGCTGTGCTCTAAAAATTCGTACTCTGCGACGTCTGCCACAGTGTTTGATGAGACCTATCGTTGGCTATCAGACGGCCGCTGAGCCTTGCGGGAATATAGAGGATACACTATGTGTCAATAGTACAAAGTTAAGCAACAGGGTCCAACTATGGGGTGCACGACGGCAGGATTCCTGCCAGTTGCCATGGCCCCTTGAGGGCGCCTCGCCGGTAAGCCCAACTCTTACTCACACTTACTTACTTAGTTAACCAGTACCTCTGCTACACCATAACTACTATTGAGTCTATGCTTTCTCTTTGGAAAATGAACTATTCCTGCAGCGGATGCATGGGTCACTTTAAAACGAGCATAACAACTAAACTCGCTATTCTCAACTGTGACGCACTATTTGGGTGAAAAAATGTATTTAAAATCCCATCTTGTCAAGCAACGAAAGGAAAATGGGAACAGAAGAAGCTTCTAATTTTTCTCAGAATATTTGCAGCATCCAGCAGTACCACTCTGTTTTAAAAATCATCAAGACATACACCTCGGCTGGATCCTGTATTTCAGCCCTTTAGAGTTTTTCTTTTCTCATTTTCTAAAATTTACTGCATAAAGTTTTTTCCTCTTTTTTTTTCTTCTTTGTTTTTCCTCATCATGTTCAACTTCCTACTCAATAGACTTTTAATGTTCTCATTATTTTTCTGTTTAGGCTGAGTGTCAAAGTTTTTGATCGAAACGGGCAGGATCTTTTCTCTCGGACAGAAGAAAAAATCAGCCCATATTGTAGCCTACCGGTGTGCAGACAACGTGAAAAGGTTTATGTGACGCATGCAGAAAACACGGAAACCGAAAAAGGCAATTTCATCGTCCTACAGTATGTATCCTACGCTGATGCATTAGGTGAATTTTTAGACACTATACATGAATACGCTGAATCAGCTGAGCAACTTGAAGAACCAATGCTTGAGTTGGTTTGTGTTGCAAAATCTCCCGCCGATGAGCAATGGTATCGAGCTCGGCTTGTCTTGATGGACCCAGAAATTTTGGTTGAGTACTTAGACTATGGAAATTCTGAAGTAGTGCCTCTTGAAAACTTGCGAAAAATCGATTCTAGTCTTGCTTATCCTCCCTTATTTGCCGTTAGTCCTGTGTATCTGCCAATTTCGAGCTTCGATGCATCAGAGCTTTTGACAACCTATGCTGATACTGAATTCATTGCGAACTTTAAGTTTTCTGACGGAAAATGGTTTGCAAACTTAGAAACAGCCGATGGTGTCTATGTTAGTAGGTCTTTTGTAGAATCTGGTAAAGCAAAAGAATTAGATCCATCACCCTATGCTCAGCCTCCTAGCACACTCGCGAAATGGCAGAAGACAGAAGGAGAGTCATCTGTAATATGCACTTATGTAGATGATGTCAACAAATTCTACATTCAATTAGCCTCTGAGTGCGATGAGCTGGAGGAACTTCAAAGTAATTTACAGCAAGACATCCTTAAGATGATGCCTCTCATTGGCAAATCAAGTTCAATTTTTGCAGCCAAGTATGTGGCCGATGATACCTGGTATCGTGCAGAATTCAGCTCTGATGAATCAGTACGTTTTATCGATTATGGAAATGAAGATGCCATTGATGAGATTAAAAAGTTACCGGCTAAATATCTATCAAATCCATTCAGCGTGGCATGCACTTTACCTGTCACTCCATTCAAGGGCACTGAGTGGTCCGAAGAAGTAATTGAAAAATTCCGCAGTCTTGTTGTCGAAGCTGAAGAGTTGCTCGGGGAAGTTATTTCTGTGGAAGGAAATGTTGCAACTGTCAGATTGTCAATCAATGGAAAAGAAGTAAGCAACATGTTAATTGAAGAGAGTCTTGCTGCAGCTAAACCTTTAGAAGTTACCGTAAGTCACATCAACTCTCTGCAAGATTTTTATGCTCAAGTAGATTTGCCAGCAAGTGACAAGATGGTGGAAAAACTAGCTAATGCTGAATCGTGGAATGCTATAGATGATTTGACTGAAGGCATTATCGTAGCTGCCAAATTCAATGAAGATGATCTGTTTTACCGTGCTAAAATCTTAAGAGCTACTGAAGATTCCACTCAAGTATTTTTCATTGACTACGGGAACTTAGCAGTTGTAACGGAAATCAAAGAGCTACCAGATGATCTAAAAACTATTGAACCATTAGCGGCACATTGCTGTTTAGATTTTTCACCTACTGTAATTGCTCCTGAAACCGTTGAAAAATTCATGGAGTTTTCCAGTTTCGGAGAAACTCTCTTCAAGTTGAAATTAATTAGTGGAAATTTGAAGATGGGGTTGGCTAAAGTCGAATTAATATTAGATGATAAAAGTGTAACAAGGCAGTTGCTTGAGTTCAATGCCCAAAACATTGAAGTTACTGCAAGAATGTCCTTTGTAAACTCACTCTCTAGCTTCTATATTCAACATATTAGCAATGATGGCCTTCTAGAGAAAGTGACAACCTCTCTCGAAACTGGAAGTGAATTAGAACAAGCGTCTGAAGTTACAGAAGGTTTACTCTACGCTGTCAAGTTCGAAGATGATGGTCTCTATTATCGAGCTAAGGGCCTACCAGACTCCTCTGTATTCTTCATAGACTATGGTAACACTGCAACCAGCAGCGATCTTAGAATTCTTCCTGAAGAGATCCTTAACATCCCTCCACTAGCCAAACACTGTACTCTGCATATTCCTGCCGGCGTTGAGCTGCCTGAATCTTCTCTTGATCTGTTATACAGCTTTCTCGAAGGCACTGAACTCCAAATTAAGTACCTAAGTTTTGAAGATCCAAGGTGTGTAATGATCAACATAAACGGGCAGAGTATTGTCGATCAGATGCTGCAAACCACCAGCAAAAGTACAGAAACTGCGCAGACAAATGATGAGATTGAAGCCATCGAAGCTCCTGCGAAGAAAAATGCTTGGTTTTCAGCCATGGAAGCTGATGAAATAAATGACTCAATTGAAATCATCGAAGCTGTTGAATTAAGTGATGCTATCGCAGCTAGTGAAGCTATTGAATTAAGTAATGCTATCGCAGCTAGTGAAGCTATTGAATTAAGTAATGCTATCGCAGCTAGTAAAGTTGTTGAAGCTGCAGAGGTAACAGATGTTATTACTGCTGGTGAAGCCCATGAATTCAATGAAACATCTCACCCAATAGTTCACATAAACTCACCAAACGATTTTTACATTCATAAAGACTTTGATGGATTGGATACCATTCGGAAAATTTTGGATGATAACTCCCTTCTCGAGTCAATCCCACTCGAAGACATCGCAGTTGGTGCCTTAGTTGCCGCTAAGTTTGTGGATGATGGTGCGTGGTATCGCTCAGAGGTATTGAGCAAAGATGAAACGAGCCCAGGTTTCTGTGTATTATTTATTGATTATGGGAATCAAAGTGTCGCAACAGAGTTTGCAGTTATCCCTGAAGCTATTTCTGAAGTTGCCCCACTGGCTCTAAAATATGCGATACAACCTCCAAGGAGCTATGATGAATGGCCGTCGTCAGTAAATGAACGATTTGTGGAAATAGTAGAGGACAATGGGTATGAGTGTGAAATTCTTGGCGATGAAAATTCTGGATTTATTGACCTTAAATGCGGAGGTATTGTAATCTCACAGGAATTACTCAAACTTTTAGATTCTGAAAGCGGTGCTGTTGACTCAGCAAACATTGTGGTGAAAACAGAAAAGGATGATGATATGGTCTTAGAGGAAACTAGTTTTGAACCCAGTAACGAATTTGAAGCAGAAGAAGCTGATGTGAGCACTATTCATGAAGCCACTGAAAGTCCTGAGAGTCCAGAGGAAAACGAAAAAGGACTTAAATTTGAAAAAAACAATTCTATGTCAGAAGAGTTTTCGGAAGGAGAGAATAGTCCTTCCAGCTGCAAGGCCGGAGAGTCCTTCGGAGAACCAAACGCTGCTGAAAACAATGAATTAAGTAGCTCCGGCATTGAGTACTCTGCAGCAAGCTCTTTCGAACTCAAAAAAGAAGATGACACTAGTTGTGATGGAGCAGAAGATCTCATCGTGAAACAGAATGAAGTTGAAAGCAGTTTATTAGAAAACGCTGGCATTGAGTCCAGTCCAGCAAGCCACTCTGAATTCAAAGAAAATGACTCAGTTGACATTACAGATATCGAGGAAAAAATTGATGCCTTGAATCTTGAAGTGAATGATGGAAAACCGGCTGAAAACGATGTTGAGTTTCTGAAGGAGACCATCAAATCTAATGAGGTGATCGACCTTCGTGAAAGTCCTGCCAAAGCGGATTCCAACGTGGAAGATATAGATGACTGTGATCGTGACTATGCTGCAGATGTCAACCACTCACCTTGCTTGGAGTTGAGAGAGAGCAGATTGGAAGAGGCAATCCAAAATGGAAATCTGGAGTTCTCAGAATTAGCAATTAAAGAAGAATTAGTATATGAGGATCCCCCAGCCTCGAAGTTAGAAACCTCTGAGTCCTTTGAATTTGACGAATCAATAGTATCTCTAAGTAGTGCGAACAACACAGTCATTGAATTTAATGGCTCTAGTTTGAGTGAAAATATGACTCCTATCAAAAGGACAGAAGATAAAATTGTTGCGGGCAGTATTAGTAGAGGAGATATGTCGGAACCGCCTGTACCTAAAATACTGCATGAAGAGAAAATTGTTGCAGGGGCGATTTCCGGCCTAGATCTTGATAGTTTAGAGAATGAATCTGATCCTTCAACTGTTGATGAGAGTGTACCAAAGCCCGAAACTGAGCTCAATAGTGTGTCAAGAAATTCAAATGAGTTTGACAATGGCACTACATCAGCTGTCTATCATGAACCAATTCCTCTGGATGAGAAGATATGTGTCCAATCGATCAAAGGTAGCGAAGTATCATCCGAAAATACAGAAGCTCCTAAGTCAGTTCCTATCATCCCCTTAGATGAAAAATCTCTGCCAGCTCATTTCCAGGTAGGAGTGGACAGTGATTAAGGGGTATTTTTAATTGTGATTTTGCTTCTGATTATAAAGTGTCTTAATTTTTTATATGTTTTTCCCTTTTCCCATTTCAGTTGTATATACTGCAGAAATTTGAGTAAACACTACTTTAAGCCGTAATAAAATTCAACAGCTGTAAAATGTATCTTGATTAGTTTTTTCTCACTATCTTTCAATAAAATCAGAGTCAGCAGTAATACTAAAAATGTTTTTTCTCCGCAGGGCTGCCTATTTTGTGTAGCTTTTTAACCTCTGTATCAAGCTATTTTTCTGCATTATTAATATATTATATTTGTTAATAATTAAAAATCGCACCACCTTCTCCCCTACTGTTTCTCTTAATTAACAATATGCAGTGACTGAGTCCAACATTTATGTTGTGCCTGATTCATACTTGAGTTTGTTGAATGAGGTACAATTATCTTATTACTGCTGTGTTTCTCATTGTTATTTAGTATGCTTCTACTTTTTCCAGAGGTGAAAGTGGTCTTTTGATCACACTATCGCTCAATAGAAAAAAACCCTTGGAGACTGGCACCTATTTTATTATTAGTATATTCCTACCTTTATTTTTCAGTTTTGGGTCACCTGAACCAACTAATCAATTTTCAAAAAACTCAAATCATACACTGAAAAGGTGAATGCACTTAACTTTACGGTCCACAGCAAAATTATGCTTCGATCTTAAAGATTTCTATCTGTACACTTTTATTTAAATTTTAATAGTACTGAACAATTATTTCAAATTACTGAACTCATTTCATGGTTATTGGTTTTATATGCAGCTGATACTAACAAGGTTGTTAAAAGAACATTTCGTTCTACAATGTTAACTCCAGTTGAATAGTTGTACTTAATAAGAATAGTCTTCAATTTTCACAGCAAAATAAGTTTTTGTAGTAAGTTGTAGATGGAAGTATAAAATTATATTTTGGTGGATCCTGTTTTAATGTCACTGACACTTTTTACCATATTCCTTGTAAGCAGTTAAAAATTTCATCATTTTTTTCTCCCCTTCCCCTTTTCTGGCTCCAATTTTGCATTAGAAACTTATCTCTCGACCTGAATAGCTATGTCAAACTGTATGAAAAATAAAAGAAGAAAAAAAGCAGGTCTTAAGATGTGAATAAGGGAGACAACGTTGAACGTCTGGTGCAATAACGCACTTTCACCCACCTCCGAAAGTTTAATTGTGCCTGATGTTCAGAAGGTTATTGTTCGTTTTTCAATTTTTATGTTGTTTATTTTTTTACTTGTAAATATGCCTAGAGTTAACGTACATACTTACTTCTTTTAAGTCATTTAATTTGTTTCTTTTGAACTATTCAAAGCCCTTAGTGGCCATTTTGATTGATAGGGTCATGGAATAATAACAAGCAACATTTCAGCAAGGAAGAAAAAAAATCTGAAGGTGTTAAGTTTTAAAGTCAAAGATATCTCTTAAAGTAAATATGAGTCATTAATATAATAGTACCATATCCCAACTTGTGATTGGCACTGAAAAACAACTTAAGGATTTGAACTAATCGTTCCAATTTTTACCAATACCTCGAACTCACCAAATGATGAACCTCTCCAAAATCGGCTTACGTCCTTTCTTCTCACAACTGTTATTTGGTTTTTGACTAAAAAATAATATCCGAATGCCTAATATCGTTGACTGTCCAAGAATTTAATCGAAATGCATGAAGTAATGTCTCACTTAATTGTTCACGGATTATTAACCTTCAGGAGCTTTTTGTGCGTTTCTAAATAAATGTCAGTCAGTTTTTCCAAGAATAGTGCCTATATCCATCCTGTACTGACCCCTCGACTGTACTTTATGTATTATTATACTCATCTCTTTTTTTTCCATTTTGTAAGTATTTTCCATTTCTTTTGTAATCTTGTTTTTATTAATTATTGTCTATTTTTGTTACTGAATCAGTATGTAAATCCAGCAAAATTAAACAGACTGATAGCCCTCTTAGTTACTGTTGTTCTTTTTTCCTATTTAATATATTATCTACAGGAAAAGTGCCATGAAAAGTGTTGTACGAACACGTTGAGACTTAAATGTCCATCACTGTCAAACCAAACCGGATTTGTGACAATTTAGCAATTTTAGCAGTCTAAAAGATGTTGTTTTAAGGGTAAACTAACTTACTGTGCTCATGGTGCATAATATTGCCAGATTATAATGCTAATTTTCACCATGTATTGGTAGATAAATTATCTATTCATTTGCAGTAATGCCTGTGGATATCAAAGTGTTTTCCATCAAAATCTGATCTCTGGACTTAGCGGAATAAAAATGTCGCCTCAGTAGAATGAGGTATGTTTTTTTCCATGTAGAGCCACAAATGAAGATTATGTATCTATCTGGACTGTTGGAAAAGTTTTGAAACATGAATTCCTTGTAAGTCTCATGAAGGGAGAATAGTTTAGTTACGATCCATATTCATTTTGAAGTATTGCTTTTCAAATCGTATACTTTTTATTGTTCATCTGACGAAACAAGCCAAATACAGGTGTAAGTGTTTAATAACTTTGAAAAGAGGTAGCATCACTCTCTGAGACTTCATTTCTGAACTATCATTGAGGTAGGAGGTCAAAAAGGAACCTCTATCCCTGATACGAATTTCAATAAGGTTAACATAGGATTCAAGAGACCGCAAGATCCTTTTCCACTTGGCCACTAAATTATTGGTACACTCATCTTCAAGGAAGGAGCACAAAATGTTGCATGCATGAAATGGAAAACAACGATTAACAGGATGTTCTTTTCATTTATTCTTTTCAGTTAGGATGGTTTGTACAGATTACTAAACCTTGATAAAAAACGATACATTATAAATGATAATTGGTCAGGTTTATTCGAGCAAGAGCAAAAAGTTTGTGGTATTTGGGGAAAAGAATGATTAGAGGTGGTTATTTTGGAAATGAATCTATTCCTGCTAGTCAAGAGTATATGACAATTTAAGAGGTTTTATAGTCAGCAGTAGAAAATTTGCTCATCAGGATGTCGACTCTTCAATCATGATAAAGAAAATTGTGATGGACTTGACAGGAAAAACATCTCTAATAATATCACTGCCACCCTCAATCATTAGAGGTGAACTGAGAGACAAAAATCCCATTCATTTATTAATGGTGAAAATTTTGCCCGACTTATTCATTCCTTCAAGTCGAAAATTGAGACCAGGAATTCAGATGTAAAACCATCAATGTTCAAAATAAATTCATCTGAAATTGCCATGTCTGAAAATATGCCTTGTCTCCACAAGACGTTTCACAGAATTTTTCCCAAGTTGGAATCGCAGAAATGAAACTTCCGGGCTTTTTTCCCGTCAAACAACACAACAACTCTTACTTGGCACTGTGATTGGTATTGATTAACTCAATATTTTTCTCAACTTCGCAAATGAGATTTTTCCGTCGGACAAATCCCATGAAACGTCCTGTGGAGACAAGGCCTTAGCTGCATGGCTCGAGTTTATCAAAACTAAGATTTAAAAAAGAAATGAACAATTGGGGAAACAGAGATCTCACTGTACCAACACCGAAACTCCCTAAAGTTCAATTAAGTAATCGTGAACATTGGCTGTCTCTTACGCCTTGTCTCCAAGGGACGTTTCACAGGATTTTTCTCAAGTTCGAATCGCAGGGATGAAACTTCTGGGCTTTTTCCCCGTTAAACAACACAACAAAATTTTTTCTTCTTTTAAGTCGTTCCTGAGACTCCACAATGACTCTTAGTTGGCACTGTGATAAGTACGGACTGACTCAATATTTTTCTCGACTTCGTAAGTGAGATTTTTCCCTGGGACAAATGCCATGAAACGTCCCATGGAGACAAAGCCTAAGCAAATATGCAGTTCCAGCATCAGCGTAAATATTAGGAAATTAGGCATTCCTCATACTGTTTTACTAAGTCTATGGTTTTTTAAAATTCATCAAGTAAGTGATCTAGATGTCGAAGAAAAAACCTATTTTTGATGAAAAATAAGGTTTACTCAAATTACTGAACAAAATATTTCATAAATTGTGTTCCATTATATCAATTTTCTTCACCAACTCACAATCAGATTATCTCTTTGCCGGGATGCAACTTCAAAAACAAGATTAGACAGAGTTTATAATAATCAGCAGTATTAGCAGCTTTTTTCTTAACTGCATCCATCCGAATAAAAACATGCCAAAATAAGACACAGACTAGCAAAATCTAAACAAAATATTAAAAAATGTTGAGATGGATATGCTAGAATAGGTTAGAGTGCCCTCTATCCAAACTATTAAGAGATGTAGCTAAAAATAATTGTGAACTGTTCAGTTCACCTACTTCCTAGAGAGGATTTAGCATAATTATAAGAACCAGTTCATCCAATAAAATCTACATTCTAGAAACTGTTCTATTAATAATAATAATTTAAGAAAAAATAAAAACTGTAATAAATTACAAGTTTTCAAACATTTTTCATTTAAAAATCAAACTCTGGTGTGGGTCTACAGTTACTAGGGGAAACAGATACGAGGAGCCTTTTTAAATAAATCATTTGATCTTGGTGAGGGAACTAGTATTTACACACATTCTTTTGGAGATCCTTATCAGAAAAAACTACATAATTCATTTTTTGCCTGTTACATCATAAAAAAAAAAAAAAAAAAAAAACAGTGTTTGGAAAAGAAAACTGGGAAAAGATAGGCATACTTCAAATAAGTTAACGGTTTTTTAGAGTAAGGACCTACTTAAGCTTTCAAAAGTTGAATCTCATTTAGCAGCAGGAAACCAACGCAATTACAGTTTGTAAATTTGAATGAGAACCAAGGTGTTATATTGAATACTTATTAATTACTGAGGCACCTTACGGCTTACGCAATTACAGTGTTTTAAAAATCGTGCTTCATCTTTCCTTTAAAAAGTAATACATATATGTACATTAATAAAATTTACACGACCGTTTTCCTGTACAACTTAAAATTTTACGGTGAAAAAACAAGAACCATTTGCTAATATAGGCATTTTTTTAGATCAAGATGAAGATGCACAATTATATAACACTCTGATTGAGCCGGTTCCTTTCTGTTAAATACAGTAAAATTGTACCATGGTACCAGAGAAAGAAAAAAAATCGCACAGTACTACATTTTTAAAAAATTGGATACCAACTTCAGTTTACATTTTAAGCCATGGAATGGGCTGCAGCTGTAATTGACAGAGCACTCCAGAACAAATTATTCTCTTGGTAGTAGGTAAGGAAAAAAACTTCAAACTTTTCAAAAGCATTTAGAGAAATATATTCAGGAAATAAAGGAGAGAGAAGTAGGGCAAAGATGACACTCCACAAGGTGAATTTTACAATGCGAGCACTTTTCTAAAAATTTAAAGGGAAAAAAACACATATAAAATAAAAAAGAAAAATAACACCACGAGAACCTCAGTAGTTCAATGAAGCACAGCCTTAAAATAAATAAAACTTTGTCAGGGCACATAGTAAGAATTTAGTGATAAGCCTCACTTGGTGAGCAAAAACAAAATAAGAATGGAAGCAATAAATCAATTGCAAGCACAGCTGTTTGCATATTTTGAGCTCTGATAAAATGAATGAAAATGGCACTTTAGTAAAACTTACATTAATTTTCAAAAGTAAATGACACAAGTAAAATTTGACAGCTTTGTGATGAGGGTCATCACTGTTTCTTTTTTTTTCTTTTCTTTTTGTTTCTTAGTGGAAAGAGGATCTTATTTGAGAAAGAAAATATTTCCACATATTTGGACTTTTCACAAAATACAGCAGTCTTGATTATATGCATTGATTGGGACAAGAAGTACAACAGTTGACTGACAATTGCGAATAATACTAAAAAACTTAATTGGAGAGACTCACTTTTGAAGAAAATATAATACAATAAATGACTTTGACCCTGTTGAAGAGAAAATAACATTTCTCGGCACAGTCCTGATCCAACAACCCATCTTCCCCAATTTTTTTTGTCAAGGTAATGCTTCTAGCAGGTTAGAAAAATATCTTTGGTCAACTGCAAGTAGCTGAGACTCTGTTACATCAATTAAACTCCTTTAGCGGATAAAGATCCACCTTGCTTTTTTAGCTACATCCTACGGATTAATCAAAGAATATTTTACTCTTCATTGGCATTTTCAAACGCGACCTACACCATACAAATAACAGGGAATTGTGACAGTCCGGTAGAGTTTTTCTCCTACCACGTGCTAATTTTATCACCAAACGGAACTATTGGATTGTGATTCTCACCTATTGTTTTGAAATCATTTTTTTATTTCTTCAAATGAAATTTAACAATGACAAATTGAATAAGAAACTTGCATACCGTAATTTTTCAAGTGAAATTATGAACAAGGGAATGAGAAATTTTTTGAGGAGTCTGCGTAAGAGGAGGCTACAGTTTTAGTTCTGACTTCATTCTTAGGTTTGTAATCTACGACACTAAAACACTTTAATCCATGTAAAATTCACGAGAAAAATATATATCAAAACTTGAAATCACCATCCAAACATACACATTTGCGTTTTCTTTAAAATCACTACAGTATAAAATTTATGAATACAAATGAATAAAAATGATTAATAATTAATAACAAAGTCACAAAAACAGGACCACATGAATTGATCATTAGATGTGACATCATTATGTCACATCTAATGACCAATTCATGTGGTTGCTAAAAAAGTGGTAGGAAGGCCAAATGCGAAATTTACATTCAGTCTGCTAGAATATGCTCCGGATCAGAGAAAGAAAATATGAGTATAATTCAAAAGAATTTCGATAATTCTTTGCCTCTTAAACCAAATTTATTATCCAGTTTAAGCACAAGTCATGACGTTATTTACCATTGAGTTGAGAGCAATTTGGGAGACAAGTAATTGAAGAGCCAACCATGAACATTTTTACCAATGAATTGAGGCTAGAATAGAACCCTTAAAATTTTAGTGCCACATAGTTTTGCTAGGCTTAGTAGGAACGTCGTAGCTCCGCTTTATTTTTTCTTTTTATCTTGGGTACTGAGTTAAATTTTGAGAAAGCTCCAGCTTTTCTCTCAGAGACAAATGAACGAAAAGTAAGAGATTATGAAACAACTTTTAGTCCCTTTTGAAAAGACAAAATTAGGGCTCTATATTTTGAGATTCTTTGTTTGCTATGAGGTCTATACAATATTTTATCTTGAGATAGAGTATATTATGCTTTTGGAAAGCAATACCTACTTAAGACTCATTCGTTTATAGACTAATAAAGAAAATGAGGATTAAAAGCATGACCGTTATACTTATTTCTATCTTTACTTGAGCTTAAGATTGGATGACAAATTTTCAGTATCATTAATTTTAAAAAAAACCCTCTAGCTTAGATTATTTTTTGATGCGTTAGATTAAATAAACGCATGAGGTTTGATCATGTGATAGTTGGAAGAAACTCTGAAAGAACAACCAAAAAAATACTATAGGTCAAAAGCTAAGTTGGGTTGATATGCACTAAATCGTAGGATGTGCCACTTTTTGGCCACATTCTAAACCTATTGCTTGCCCATGTTTTTCCCGTTGCATTAATGCCCTTCTGGTTATTCTTAAAGTTTGAAGCTCCTACCTTGATCCTACAATTCCTTATTGACGCCATCTCTTTTCTGGGAAAATTACATTTTCTGAATTGGGCAAAAACAAACCCAGTTTGTGTATAAAAAACGGTCAACAGGTTGAAGTCATATGTTTCACACTATACGAAGCATCTAAGAACCATTTAAATTAGAAGTTTGCTCACTGAATCAGGGGAGTGAAATAAAGGGTCGATCAAGGCACCATTAACTTTGAAACCCTCCGCACAGCAAAATGACTACAATTTGTTTGTCGTTTCATTGAACTCAGAACAAATCTTCTAAGGTCATGAAGGCACAAACATCTTGAAAATTAGTAAAAATGTAGCATGTCATATGTAGTTTCTTTAGCCTGTAAAAGTGAAATCTTGCCCTTTCCATGGTAGTCGAAATTATTCAAATTTAAAATATATTATCATACGTTTTACTCTTCTTTCCAGTAATTTCTGCAACAATATTTATGGGGTTGAATAATATTTTTGTTAGCTAAAAAACTGTTCAACGATATTTTTTGACAATTTCTGAAACTTGCATGCCTACATGCCTTTGAAAGCCCCGTTTTGGGTTTGATAAAAAGAGGGTTAAACTAGACTCATTTACACACAATGCACAATGCTGCAAAGCAAACAGCACCAAGAACCCCCTGATTCATTCCCTCGATCTAATATGCGATCTTCTAGTTTATACATGTTCCTCAGGAGCTTTGTAAAAAGCACAATATGAGACATCCTTTGGACTATATTAAACACACAAAAAAGCCAAACTCCTGGAAAAAAAGAGGACACTAGCAAGGAGCCGTAGGATCAATATAAGGGTGTCTAACTTCACATACATCCTAATAGACCTAATGAAACAGGAAAACAAGGAGAAATAAGGAGAACATTTTCAAAATATACCAGAAAATGGCACATCCTTCAAGAGCAATACTTCCAGGGTTATTTCTGAGTGACATATGATCAAATTTTGACTTTTTGACAATCAAAATTGACGCTCCAAAAGATTTAAAGGTATACATTTTGTACAAAATTAATTGGTAATATTGTTTACAATGTTGCTTAATGACCTTGTTAAGTTATAAGTTGCTGCCTGAAGTCATTTAAGGAGTGCAGAATTTTTGACATATAGCCCCTATGGCCAAATCAAAAGGTTTGTTCTTTCCGTTCAATTTTTAATTATTTCCTTTCTTTCCCTGTTACGTTATGCAGAATTTTTAATTATTTTGGTGTGAATTTGTTTCATGACAATTGCACTATTCTTGAGGTATCTTAATTTTTACATTTTTTTTTCTTATCAAAGATGACAAGGAGTTTTTGGAGGAAGCTATTTCATCTGTCAACAGACCCCAAGAAAAATTTGACGGAAATAGTCCAAAAAGGAAATAAGTAAAGGCCTTTGGCTCTTACTAGGATTTAAACTTAAGGTCATAGGGTCAGAAAAATTCTGCACTTGCAGTAATACTGATTGTTTAAACCTCAAATCCTTGAGGCTGTCTAGACAACTAAAAAGCATGAGGCATTTATGTACCTCCACTGTTCCTGGCGAATGGCTGGGGGGGGGGGGGGGAGGGGAGGGGGGTGTAACTCTCATACAAATTATTTACAATCTTAGACTAAACATTTGCCTCCTCTTTCTGCATTGTTTGGAAACAGTCTGAACCAAAAGTATTTGTTCCTATAACGAGACTAAAAGCTTAATACTTGCATCGATACAGTGGTTTGCATCGATACAGTGATATATTTAGTGAAACATATAAAAAATTGAATTGTGATATGATCTACAGTTCCAATTGACTAGAGATAATATTTTGATCGCTTTTGAACCCAAGGAAGGCTGTTCCAAATAAAGTAATTTCACGATGATCGAATTCTTAATTACTACCTAATAATAGCCCTTATGTCCTGAAAAGTTCTTAATCCTTATAATTCGTTCCCTGTCCAAAAATGTAAAAACCCAAACCCGATAAAACATAAAATTCAACAGCCTAGTTTTAAAAATAAAGTAAAAAGAAAATAAATTAAAAAAAAAACACTGAAATACCAAGTGCTAGTATAAAAATATCGAACAAATAGCAACAATTGAATTGATTTAAAATGCCTCATACTCTAAAATTTTAATTTTAAAAGTGAAAAAAGTTAAAAATACATTACAGGTAAAGAATAGAAGTAAGAGATTTGCACTGACTATTTGGCCTCTAGATTTGTTACAAAAATGTCGGTGTTGCCACAACTGTCAATTAAATAAAAGACCAGTAAAATCGGTGCTGAGAGAGAGGAATTATGGAAGGCTTTCAACACCTGATGTATAACCACTGGTGCCAGAAATTTTTGACAAGGAAGATAAACTGCGCTTGGGACTATCTCCGAGAAACGACATTTTATTTGTCTCGCTAAAAAGCTTCCGAAAACTGTAACAGAACAAAAGGGGATTTCTTTAACAATGAGCTAAAATGAAACAAAGAATGGCATTAAACAAAAAATTAAATGATATGATAAAATATATAGTATGATGAGGTGAGTGCACAAATTTTAACACCTTAAAATAATTAGCAGGAAACATATCCTTGTCTAAGAAAGGGGTGAGGGAATCTTTTTCCCTGTGAACCAGAACCAACCCCTTGATTTCGGTAGGCCTGGCACCACATAAAAGAGCTGAGCCATTAGAAGCGTATTTAGATAAGGCCACTGACACTGTTTTTGCATAATTACAATAATTAGTGAACTTACAATAAAGAGGGTGATTCAGTAAATAATAAAATCTTCTGCAAATACTTTCCCAAAATTCATATAATGGATCGCTGAGGACATTTAAAATCACAAATTACAATTATATAGGATTTCTTTAGTCTGAATTTTCATAAGTGAAGTTAGATAATCAAATGGAAAATGGTTTGTGACCAGAAATGCAGTTTACTAATGCAAAGTGTCCTCTTATATTTTTACGCTGATTAGAGTACCTATGTACAAAAAGGGTCATTTTTGACAAGTTGGTTAAGGACTCGACTCTGAAGTTCAAAATAAAAAAATCTCCATCTCATCTAGAATTCTGTAGTCATCTTGTTTATTTGCCTTGGTTCTTAGGAGCGAAGGGGCAACCTTAAAAGCCTAAAAATCGCCGACCAATCAGAGAGCCACACACTTTTCTGTAGTGAGGATGGTTATACTTTCCCTCTGTAGGTGCTCTAACGCTGATGATCTAACTAATTACTGGTTGCACCTCGAAATTGACTGAATCCTCAAGGAGATTCACATCAGTGACTACAGATTTGAAGTTTAAGGTCCCATCAAGTTCTTGGGATAGCAAAAGCCTTTAGAATGATCGGAGGAAGACACCTTTTTTCTTGACATTCACGTAAAAAAACATAGAAGATAGAGAGTACAAAAGAGAAAGGAAGTGTGGAAGAGAAGAGAAGTATTACATAAAAAAGTAGACCAGCAGTGTGATCATACAAGTAGAGTCTAACTTGATAAAAAAAAAAAAAAAAAAAAAAAAAAAATAATGGTTGACGATTGAGAATCGATAACGACTAACTCACCATGAGATCGACACGATTATCTCTTACATCACACTTACTTGTGTCACTTGTCATATTAAGCCTCACATTTAATATTCTAGGCAATTATCAACATCAAATGGACCATATTTCGCGATAAGGAACCACTATTTCTGGCTCATTTTAGAGACAGCATATATGCCATCGGTTTCCCTATGCAGAAAGGTGCTTTTATGGAAGAGCCAGAAATAGTGGTTCCTTATTGCAAAATTTAATCCAAATCTAAGTGTTGCGTGAGAGCAGTTTAGGGGTACCATACAGTTATCAAATCATTCATCAATTCAACGTGCAGTTTCAATTAGATAATTATTTCTTCAGTGCAATACTGATTCCAAATCATCAAGCATTTCTCCAAATTGAAAAGATGACTTAAATTATAAATCACTCTGCTAGCTCTGAAAGTAATTTCGAGCAAGATTGAGAGAAAGGAAGCAAGTGAATTGCTCATATGGCATGGTGGATCGAGACACTAATGCCTCTATTCGTATCTCTGCTTTCATGAGAAAAAATAGAATCGCCAAAAGACCTCTTTTTAAAATTATTTGACCGGTACTTTGGAATTTTGAGAATAAAAATGCATGGTAGGGAATCTACTGGAATTTTTATGGAAATACGACTTTTCATAAAAATTTACTTAAAATTTTATACCTAGGTGCAAAAGTATGGAGCGTCATAAACATTAAACAACAGAATATACTTTTTCACAGATTTTTAGCCACAATAATTATCTCAGTTTAGCTGTCTTAAAGCAGAGAGAAATGAGTGTGTCCTCTGTTTGTATCTTTTACTTCACTTTTCGAGGTGAAATAGATGGTAATAAGAATAGAGACTCAAGCTTTTTGAAAAGATTAAGCGACCCAAGCACTTTTTAACAAGAATGATCGAAATGCATACTCACTGGTGAATCAGTGATTACTATCACTATCAAAAATAATATAGACAAATTTAAGAAGTAACTTAAATAGTATGTACTGATAAAGGGGGAAACACCCTGAAAGTCCACTACATTCACAGTTTAAATGGCCTAGAGTTACTTGTTAACAGATTGAAATTTTTGAAAATCGTGACTTTTTTGGTCACCTCAGTTCCTCTATTCCCATCTGATCATAGGTTTCTCTTCCACCCTCTATAGTGTCTTTAAGGTATCTGAGGCTTCGGCACAAATACAAAGTTGCAAATTGCAATAAAACAGGGCTCTCTGGTTCATTCCAAATTTTAAAGCTAGGGTGCAAGTATTGGGGTTACCTAACCAAACGCTCATCTCTCCTGTTTCTGCTTTACGATGGTTTCTAATGCCTAAACAATTGGAAATCTCTGGCATTTGCTCTGTTCTCAAGACTTGGATCTCCTAATCCCAAGACTTCAACCAACTTACATAACAGACATGACTTCAGTAGGTACGTTGTGACTTTAGTCAAGCTGTGCACCACAAAGACCCAAAATATAGCTGCACTGCACCTCTTGCATAGAACTTGCAAGAGTAACACTAAATTAAACATGTGAAAGTTGATTTCTAGGATTTGAAGGTTAAAATTAAATGACAACGTATAGAAGTATAAAGGATTCAAGGTCTTAGTGAATTTCCCTGTGTTGAAAGGCATCCCCAGGTGCATATTGATAGAGTTTATATCAAGACAACACCTCCACCAATGAGCAACTCAACTTACTTACTCTTAAAAATGAATAGTATTATCATGCTGCATGAAAACAGTAACGGTTTGTGGTCTTGTTGCGTTATCCGACTTTCATTTGCATTGTCAACGCGAAGTCAAAAAATTCTGACTTTCAGTAAGAAAAATTCTACATGCATTCGTAACACAGCTAATTTTCTCAGTCTAAAATAGGGGCAGTAAAATCAAACAGATAATTTTATTTCAGCTGATTTAAAAAAGTAGAACCGGACAAAAAAAAAAATAAAAAATAAAATTCCAAGTATTGTATCAAGTACCTCTAGTGCTAGTATAACACGTACATAGCAGAATACTAATAATAAAAGAGAGTCTGATGGAGAAATTTCAGGCCTACAACCATGCCCTATTTAAAAAATTTGTATTTCATCGGATATTTTCTCAGGCTAACAAAATGAGCTAGAAACCTGCTACCCTTGAAAAAAAAAACCTTTTTTGGGGGGGGAGGGGGGGTGTAACTCATCATTTGTGTTCCAACTTCAATGGGCAATATAAAAATCAGGCTTTGGCGCCTAAAAATAAGAGGCACTCCGCACTACACCTCATAAGGCGCCTAAAATTTTTTTACAGTCTTCATTTCTATTGTGACCTTAGTCCTTCCAAAGTTTTTAAGATCAAGAATGTGTATGACTCCAATAAATTTGAAAATGATGCCTAAAAATTAGGCTTCCCAGCCTATCGGCCCTAAAAATTTTGGAGCAAAGATCACTGCCCATTATCAAAGTGTTGATTGATTGTGCTAATGTTGACATTTTTTTCTTTTATCTACAAAAAACAGACACCAAATGACAGAACTCATGAGCCTATTTGCATGCCTTTTCCTTTTTTCCTTCAAAAAGTTATGGTGACGGTAATTAATGTAAAAAGGTGAGAAAACTAAAATGTAACCATGGTATATTACTACATCAGTTTATGAAAGCAGTGTATCAAATTTACAATAAAGAATGTACCATGATCAACTAAGAGGCAAGAAAAAAATAGCGGATTGATGCATGCCCGGACTTGGATTCTACTAAGTCTACATAATTCTCAGCCTAATTTTATTCAAATCGTTGTCTCTAAATCAAAGAAATTTAGAATGCAATCTATGATACAAAAGACAATATCAAAACTGTGAAGCTCTCAAACAGAGGAATACACATCTTCTGCATTGGAATTGAATCAAATAAATAGCAAAGCCTACAGGATGCACACAAAAATGTGGAGGGCTGTAAAAAAAAGTGAAAGATGAATCAATAAAAGAATGGGGAGAAAAGTACTTACAACTTTCGAATTCCTGTCTCCGATTTTTTCCACGGGGCGTCATCAGGTTCACAGGGTAAGGGCCCTTGAACAGGAGGATCCTCATCTTCCGGACTGAAAATAAAAATTAACATACCATTGAGAATAGATTGAATATATTTCAGTAACTTACAGTTAATTACTAACTAAATAAACAGTAGGACGAAAATGGCAGTATAAGAAATATGAACAGGGTCCTAACTGCAACTCTTTCCCGACCTCATCAAGGGAAATTTTGTTTACACCTTAAGACTACTACATCCACCCCCCCCCCCCTGCTTCTTTCAGACAAAGTTTTTTTTTTCAAATTTCCAGATGAAACGGTCCCAAGTTCACTTAAAAAAAAGTGACCATTTGTGATATGATGGGAGAAACCAAAAGTTACCTTTCTGGTTGGTTATTACTCAATACCGCGAGAAAAAGAGGCAAAGTCCCTTGCTATGCATCTTGGTACTATGTGTAAAGAATAATACATCTTAAGTAGAAGGATAAACTGTAAGATTTTTTTAACAAAATATTTTCAAACCTACCTAGTATAAATTTAAGTAATTTGTTTTACGGGTAAAAGTATTTTGTTGCCAGGAAAGAGAGAAAGAACACTAACATATGATCATGGAAGGTCACCTCTCATTCCGAGTGACCAGTATTTGTGTTTTAAAGAGCTAGTTGCGAGAGATTTAAAAGTGCAAATGTTAAGGTAGGGAACAGTTAGATGTAGCAAAAAGCATGCAAATAAGGCTCTTAAACGTTTTAACATTTAAAAAAACAAGTTTTCATCTACAACAGTAAAAGCAACAACAAGCAAAATAATGCATTTTTTCATTTGATTTGGAAATAAATCAAAATTCCAATATCTTCCTGACTATCGATAAAAAAAAATTTGGACACATATATATTGTTTGATGATAAAAGAATATTCTAACTACCAAAATGCATGGTGACAACTGACAAATATTATCTTGCAAAACAAAGTTCAACTTGACACCTCCATGAAAAAAATATCTTGATTGATAACACAAACAAAAAATTGATAAATGAAAACTTTGAATAATTAAATATTGATTTCATTATTCACTTCAATATTTGGTACATGAGATCTAGAACCCGCTAATTCAGAGATACAGCAATTACAGGATAGCAGATTCCATTCTCTACTTTGCATTATGTGTGCAATTAGCAAGTTGGTTAAAAGGAGTTTTCTTGAGTTTTTGGTCATTCTTCACAATTATTCAGCTTTGAATGACTGAGGGCTCATCCTCAGGATCTTCGAAATCCTTAGGAGGAGAAGAACTTTAAAAGTTGCATAAAACCTGGTCAGCTCCTCTACCAAATTTTGCGAGTAGCAAGGAAAAAGATTAACTTTAAAAATTGGGAAAGTTAATGACACTTTTTTGAGTAAGCTGATTTTTCCTGAAATCATCCTTCAAGATATGATGAAGTACCCATAGATCAAAGCTATTGGGAAAAACTGACTACCTGTAACTTGAAGAGACTAATTTGTGGGGGCCGGGAAATAAGGAAGATATCGTCTGATGTTCAGAATAGACCGGATGTTCTTGGGCTGCTTGGGAGGGCTGGATGGGGAAGAATCCACTGACGCTAGGCTGGTAGAGATATCTTGATGATCGCCCTCCTTCTTTGGCCTCTTCGGAGTGCTCGACATCAAACAGTCCTGCCTGGCTATTCAAGAATTAAACGCAATAACATGCAGCCAACAAATGCAACAACTGACACAGGGATCAACTTATCATACAAGAAAAGTAACTATGAGCATACAATTAAAGCAATATCATCTTTAAAACAGAGCAGGATGCTAGTGGAAAATCATGGAAAGTATGCAAGGAGGGAAAGCAATTTAAAAAATTACCAGCCTCTAATTCTCTACCCTTCTTTGTTGGTTTGTGATACCTTGATAACAGCTTAGGTGCAATACAGACAAAGGGCGATTAAATATCAACTAAGAGGAGACAGCCATTAAGTATTGAAATTTTTCGCTCGCCAAAAATGAAGATTTATTTACTTTGAAATGCAAATATGTAGGCAGAAAATACAGGCAACTTGTTCCTCTTCTCGGTTTGCTTTAAAGTTATTCAAAAAATCTCCAAAAGATTTCAGATTTTTCAGAAAATGTTGTACTTTTAGAATACTTTACAAACGAACATTTTTCTGACTTAAAAATTGCTTATACTTTTGCAAAAAACTGGATTGAGGCTGTCCTTTTAGTAAACAAAAAAAAAAAAAAAATGCAGCATGCGAGGTACTTTTAACAAAAAGTACGAGTAAATTTTGTGATGTTAATTTTACAGGCCCTAAAATGAACCTGTTGCAAAATTCGATTGAGATTACGAAATAAGGTTCAGGGCATAGAGAAGAAGTCTTCGTGATTGTTCATAATGGGAGATACATGACGAATATGGAAAGAATCATATATTTTTAATCACTAACTACTAATTGTAAGTTTGCTATGTACTTGTACTGTACTTGTTTTTTTATGACACTATCTAAACACTATACATTTTCACAACGTGGTCAGGTGGTCTTCATGATAAATAACAAAAAAATATTTTCTCCTCAAGTGCTATTGATATGCCATGCAAATGTTTCCATGAGTGTTGTGTGCTTCAAAGGGATTCATCCATACTTACTATCAATACCTAAATATGAATTGACAGCGTAAGTTTGCAATCACATATCTCGTTTGCAGTGTCTATAAATTTCCACCTCTATACTATTTTTTGAAAGGAGAACAAATTAACATCATTCTGTGAAGTTTTTGCAGAATTTTCTTCGCACAGAGAAGAAAAATCATGGCAGTTGTAAAAAAATACTGTTCAGTAGTTTTCCGTTTAAAAATAAAGTATGACAGGAAGACTGCGACATTGCAAACCGAGTTATGTGATTGCCGACTTACACCGTCGAAATGGCATCCTCATGGTCCATGCAGGTTTGAGGAAGGACTAATCAAATACCTACATACATTTAGATATTTTAAAGCGCAAAAACAAGGTTATAAGAAACACAGTATCTTTTAGTATTTGCATAAATCTATTATCTTTTGACCATTGTCACTAACAGTAACTAAAACTGATAAAGGGTAAATCAGGCGATAGGAGAACATAAAAATGTACTTAATAACGTGCTATTATTCTTAATGCAGGCAAAATTTTGCAACAGCTTCATTACTGATATACTTTGACGAGTAGAGAAATTATCAGGTGCAAGATATGAATTCAGCAAACATCAATGTTAAAAATTATGCAGATTAATGGGTCTTGTTTAAACAAAATTATGTTTGGAAAAGATAATGCAGATTGAAAATAAGACTAAACATCACTTACGATTCTACTTTGACTGTTGGCTTTGGCTTGAATGCTTCTAGTTCCTCTTCTAGGTTGCTATTCTTCACTTTCAGCTCATTTCTCTCTTGGATGATATCTTTCAGCTCAGTCGCAGTGAACCTTGGTCGATCAGGGTCATGAACATCGAACACTACTTTATTCCTCAAGTCAGGAGAATCCATCTAGAACAGGAAAAATCAGGGGCCAATGAGAGAGGTAGTTAACCATAGAATACACCTTCACAACAAGAGACTTTCTTCAGAAAAAAGACCTTGGTCCACAAAAACTCAGAACTAAGCATTAACACCAGAGCATGGGAGGCAGTCCAGTGACATTTTAGGACATAAAATGTCTTTAAATGTCAAACCAAGCTAAAACTATTGTGATTAAAAAGTTTGCACTTTGAAGGAGAATGATTTATAACACCATAATTAAAAGCATTCTGACCTACAGCAGTGAAGTATGGCCCATGAAAGATCGAACCCAGAAGATTCTTAAGGCAACTGAAATGGATTTCTGGCAGGAGCAAAAAATTGATGTTTTTCTAGATTTAAGCGGCTCGGTGAAAGGTACAAAAAATATTAATGCCTTGGTAGTTTTTATCATTTGCATCCAAGTTTGATGTTCAGCTTTGCAATTTTTTAGAGTTAAAATGTTGAGAGAAAATATTTTCTTCTTCAAGATTAGTATGAGATTCTACTGTCCACTCCTAATAAGCAGACTCCACTACATTAAAAGTTGGTTCCTTTTTACTGACCAATACTGTATATACTCACTGAACTATTGGCAAGATCTTCATTTTCTTTTTGAGCAATTCCCAGTCTGTGGCAGAGGACTTTCACTTCCTTTCTCTTGTCTTGCAGCTGAACAAGAAGATCTGCTCTTTCTTCCGCTAGCGCTCTCATTTGCGTTTGGCTAATATTCTGCTTCCTCCTGAATTCTTTCTTGAGGGATGTAAACCTCTCCACTTGATTAGACAACTACAAGAAGAAAGGAAACATTTTGTTAGGGCTTCGACTTTTATTGAATCATAAATGGTAGCAGAAATATCCACAAGGCAAGGAAAATGAAATTATTTATTATGAATTAATGATACAGTTGAATTATTAGCCTGTTGCAATCTTACAAAAAATTAATTATGCAGCTACATACGAAAAAACTTTCTTAGTCTTGAAATGGGAAAATTTTTCTAGCATTTTTTTTTTCAACTTAATCTGCTAATCAGCTGAGGTAAAGGAGGTAGAAAAACTTCCATTTATCTCCTTGCATCTGGCTACGTCTTAGGTGAGTTTTGCTTCAATACTAAGATATGAATTCTTTACAGCAGAGCATGAAAGATCCCTTTTTCTTGCGTAACTAACTCAAAAATACCCATTGAAGAGATGCAGTATAGTAAGTAATAAAAATAAAATTAATCCAATTTTAAAAAAGCTGAAAGAGAAACATTTTACATGAAATTTCACAATGAGCAAGTGGATACTTACATTTTCTATGTCTGTACTTTTGGATGCTAACTCGCGATCTTTGGTCCTTAACTGTCGTTTAAGTTGCTCAATAGTACTATTTAATTCTTGAACAGTTGCTACATCAACTTCCGTTGCGACAGATTGCGCTGTAAAAGAGACCACCAGAAATTAAGGATAAAAAATACATTTTTTTCAGGAGGGCAAATAGAAATATAGTGTAACTGGTTGACTTAATTTAATGAGCCATGACGTGCAAGTATCCCATATTCTGAGAACTGACATAAATTTTCACACATTTTCCATAATTTCATATTAGATGGCATTCTTAATCAATATGCAATAAAGTGAAGTGGCTGACATAGCAATCATGAATGGAGCATTTCACTATATCTAGATGATTATTTTCATTTGTCAGAAAATCTGACCAAAATAATTATGCTTTTTTTGTGGTCATTGTAGCTGAATTAGCTTTCGATGCTACTGAGATTTAANGTCAAAAGTGTGGCCACCGCCGGACGGAGAAAATGGGCGCCATTTTGAGATGGGCCAAGCGGCGCGCGTTTAAATGGGAGCCCAAAATGCGGACTTTTGGACTCGTATTTCGTGGGTTAATATTGCTCAAAAAAATCGGGGAAAATTCCTGTGAACTCTGTGCACTCTCTAGTTTCCAAAAATGCAAGAATTACGAATTGCTGAACAAGCTCATTATGCTTTTTTTGTGGTCATTGTAGCTGAATTAGCTTTCGATGCTTCTGAGATTTAACAAATGCAATAAATTTTATTTATCATCCAACAGATTTTTGGTGTTTTCTGATCAACTTAGGTGATTATTGATATTAACTTTTTTAAATTTCAGCATTGTTTAAGCTATTAAAGAGTATTCATAGGCATTCAGAGTTACTGATTTTTGTCACTGACCAAGGTTGTGGCAGATAATGAATACATTTTATAAACATACTTAGAGGGTTGATGGAAGATGAAAATCGAGAGGGACTTACTTCTAGCAGCTAGAGACTCATCTTCAGACAAAGCTAGGAGGCGTGTTAGCCTCATATTATCTTCTTGTAGTTTTTGCACCATAGCTTGATACTGGTCGACTTCGGCGCGCCACATGTCTTCAACTTGCTCTACTTCCTAAAATAATGAAAAATACAAGAAATTTTAATCTAGTGTATATCAGAAAATAAAAAAAAAATTGAAGACTTGAAAGCTGTCTCTTCAAGTTACAAAACAGATGTATCAAGTAGTAATATTAAATACTCATCATAGCACCAGTGATTTCATTACTGACAGACATCTTCATCTTCTGGCATTGAGGTAGAGACAATGGAAGTACTTTGGAAAGATGGTCAAAGCAAAAGCAGCTCTCTTTTTCATATTCCTATCTGACTGTCACTAAGGAAACTTATCAGAATATGTACGTAAAAATAGAGCGGTGCAGCACTACACTTTGGCGATCACTCCGTGTAACCACTTTTAAGATTTTTGACCAAAACTTCTCAGGAAATAGGTGACTCCTGTCTGATGTTCAGATGGTGTCTGGTTGCCTAAATTCCGCATGCTGCCCTTGGCTACACACCAAAAACACTTTGTGGGACACCTAGGACTGAGGAATGAAAAGATTGGACATAGGTCATCTAAAAAAATGCCACCGCTCAACAGAAATACGTGTGCTGACCAATGAACAAACTGTTGCTTAATACACTTAAAGTTGATGTGACATTTGTCCAGCCATTTCTTTCACTTTTACAGTGAAGTGACGGACAACCAACTCACGAACAGACAGCCATCACATTATCATCACTTTAACTTCATTTCTTTAATATTGTGTGCCTTCTAGAATACACTTAAATGTGTTCGATAGTACTTCAAAAAGTGACAGAGTTATTTAAAATGTGCTTGTACAGAGGCAAAGGCTTTCCTAAGTACTTAAATTAAAGCGCTTGCAACGTTCGTAATCGGAAGTAACTGTAACTTCAATGGCTAGATTGATAAGAGAGAGACTAACGAAGAAAAAATAAAGTGTGTATACCTTTTCAAATCTTCTTTTTTCTTCTTTCTCACGCTCGAGCTTGTTTATTCTTGCTTGCAAGTCTTGAATGGTGAGGTTTTCTTGATCGCTCTTAGCTGCCATACCTTCGAGCAATTCAAGTGCATTGATGACTTTCCGCATGAGGCTAGTGACAGCATCCACACCAAAAACATCAATTATTTTCTCGAACTCGCTACCAATCTCTGAGGCTAAGTCATAGACATCGATGACACTGATATCTGGTTTCGGAGATTCCATGACAGGTGAGTTGCTTACTGCGTACGGCATGAAGGAAGACCAATTGGAAATTTTGCCTGCAAAAGAAGTAAATGGGAGTCTCAAAAATTGTGTGCATATTAGTATTAGTAGATATAAAGAAATTAGAGGATGTTAAAAGCTTGCAAAAATTGATAGGAGATAGATAAGGGGCTGAACAGGTACCTGTGAGTTCTGAGCAAACTACGCTGAAGCAAATGATACTTTCAACAGGTTTAATTGAGATCGGTGGAGATGGGTCATTGTAATTGTTATCTGTAAATAATATCACTACTTATAAATTGAAAAATGGAAATAAGTTCAGAATATAGCACTACGCCGCGACTTGTTTGACGGCTTGAGCTTCTAAAGGAAATTAAGGAATGCAGATGCAGACTGCTGAAATCAGCTGATGAGGTCTCATGACGTCATCAGTCAAAACAACAGCAACAGCACAAAATTTTTTTATTTTAGCGATGTTGACAAGTTTTCTTGATGTTACATGCTGAATTGCTGAGTAGTGGTGTTGAATTTGAATCAAAACAAAAATTTCTATCTGATTGAAATCGTCATAATTATTTAAAATTTTATGATTTGTAACGGAGAATAAATTAATGTAATTGCAGATACTTTTGGGATCCTTTTAGTGTAAAATGCGCAACCGGCAACATAGTCGCATGTTGTATTGTGTTTGTGTACATGACCGCATGTGCGTTACGGTTAGAACGCTAGTTTTCAAGTCAAATTGTCTAAATTGTAGCTCAATTTTAGCTTTTGGTCACGATTATAGCGACTGCTCTGTGTTTTATCGTAAAAATAATCCTATCCAATGAGCATTGTGTAATAGTGTCTCTCTGGTAGGTAACTTCCCTTTCTCCATTCGCTCTTTCAAGGGTGGAACTTACAAAGTAAGATGTCATGATTATACGGCTTTGATGCATCTTAACAAGTAGCAAAAAGTGTGCGAACGACCAAATAATAATCAATCTTCTATATACAGAATCCTCTTCCTTGCTACACGTCAAGCCATTAATCATCAGGCAAATTTTTCTGCAGTTTTTCGTTCGATCTTCTTTCCTAACTTGGAAACGCCAAAATAATGCTGAACAGCAGTTGACATAGTTTCCAGGAGCCACTATTTTTGTACAATCGGCAGTTGATTTTTCGGCACTTTGCCTGTAAAATGCAACTGACGCAGGGAAAATAAGTCCTAGAGAAAGAGATTCCTCCTTCTTTCAGCACTGGGGAATGGATCCGCTGAATTCATGGAAAAACCTAGTGTGAGTGTGAGTCTGTCCTCATATCTGTTTCCATTCCCTACTCTTGGATTTTTGACCTTCTTTGTACAGGTCAGTGAAAATACCCAGCCTGTTGTCCTTTGATTTTCTTGCATTTCATGTTCAAATAAGAGAAAAAAATAAAGTAGGACGGTTAAATGTAAAGGCATGCAGAACCTGAGACAAGACTGCTTCTCGGCCGTAGTGGCTGTGGATCACAATACACTTTCATGCACTGGGTTGCTCCGTGAGTTGTAATGGACCTGTTGCTGAGCACTGAACAGTAGAGAGATCTTTTTGAATCATTGTGGCAGAACCCACGGCGACACGACTATGCCTATTATCGTGAAATCACCCATTAGTGAAACAGTGGCTCGGAGGAATTTGGCGCCAATATGACCTTCTTCACAATTACTTTTCATGAACTTGTGCTCACATGTAAGTGCAAGAAATGAAATAGGCGATATTCTGTCTCACTCTAAAAATGCCTATTTACTGGGTGTTGTCTCTCTCTTTATCAATTTAATTGATAGGTAACTTGATTGATATTTGTCTCACTGACTCGGTCAATTTTCCTATACTCTGATTATTTTGTGTTTTTTTACCAGGTATTAAACTCAGGAAATCATCTTTGAAAATGTCTCCGCCAAATCAAAGAACGACAAGCTTCTGATTCTAAAGAAAGAGATGAGATCAGTCTCATCATAATAATGGAAGCGGAAGAAAGTGTGGAGTCTCTTGAAACAGATGAATTATCAAGTTACCGACATCGAGATTTTCTTGGTCCAGTTTGTCTGACTAACAACTTATGGAGCTTCAAGGAGCAAAATCTATTCTGCGATGTTGCTATAAGAGTTAAGGGTCATGTTATCAATGCTCACAAAATCGTCCTTGCTGCAGCTACGCCGTATTTCAAGTTAGTATAATTCAGGAATTATTCACCTCTATACTGTTACTTAATATATTATTGAAAGTCCTAGAAGTATGCGGACCATTGATGGCTTTGTACCAATTTAGGTGACTGACATTGATCTTCAAGTTCTCATTTGCCTGCTTTGGTGTGGATGCAGAGGCTCTTTGTAAAAAATTTGAAAAAAATTTTTTTGAAAGACAGTCACAAGAGTTTATTTCCAGTGTGCAGATGTGTCGCTTGCAACTTATTGGGAAAAAAGTATTTTAGAAGGACCTAGATACTCGTCATATCCTATCCTTTCGATCTCTTCATAGTTATTCCTAAACTTACTTCCTTCACCAGACTAGTATTTCTTTTTGTTCTCCCTTTTTTGCACACCTTTCTTCACTCTCCCTTTTCAACCAAGTGATCCTAGGTGTAATATCAACATAGACACCATTGTAATTTGCAATAACGCACCAAATAATGTGAATCGTGTTCCGTAAATATTTTTTTAGTGGTTATATTAGTCAAGTATCTAAAGCCAAGGGACCAGGAAAATCTAAGCCACTCAAAAGAATTTAACCTGAGTACAATTAACAGACCTGAAAGAAAAGCGGTTCAGCACTAACTCAAAGATTTGGCTTTTCTGATGATATGTAATATGTCTCTTTTACTCCAAAAAGCCCCAAAGATCCTAATTTTCTAGATTTCAATTTTCTTCCTCTTCCTCGCTCACTGGCAAAGGGACTGTCAAAAACATTGAGCGGAGTGCAAAAAATTGTTGTTTCTAAAATCAAGATCTTTTGGGATTTTTAGAGTAAGTGAAACAAATTATACATCAATATAAATGCCCTATCTTTGAAAAGCGTTTCATGGGCATATTTTTGTAGAAAAATTGGCGGAATTAAAAAAAGCTATATAGTTTTTGGAGCTATTTTCAATAGCTAAACTAATCAGTAAATAAATAATCTCAAATACCGGAGGAAACCAAACTGGATCGCAATAACTTTTTATATATCAACAGCATATAAGAACAGCAGGGAGAATCACTAGGCAACTAAAAACTATACAGTGTTGTAAAGTTTTTACAGTTTTGATTTCCCATGTCATTTTCCGAAAAAATTGGAAAATTGGCATCAGGTGTCTGATGTGCTGAGTTAAAAAAGCGCAGGAAAATCAGGTGGCTACAAACTTTCTGTATCGAATGCAAGTTCTCATGCTCTCTAACTCTGCATGCAATGTCTGTCATTTATTTATCCTAAGAACTTTATGAACCGTAAAATGGCTAAGTCAATCAGAAGTGGATCCCCCAGTGGCATCTGCCCATAGCTGGTTCTCTAATTTCACTCGGAATTTGACTCACTGCATCCTACACTCTACTCTGCTATTTTAAACTTTCTGCAGAAACAGGCCCAAGTTCGATTGAAAAAGTGAACATATAAGATCAATGAGATCTTACAGAAGAAACCAACAGTTACTTTTCTGTCAGTTATTTTTTTTAAAATATTATCTATGAATAAATACTGGGATCCCACTGTACATCATTGCCAACTTTTATCACCTACTTATCGAAAAATATACATTTTTCCAACACAGTGTGTGATACTTCCCACTTGTTTTTTCAAAATTTATTTTATAATTTTTCTTTTTTCCTCAGAACTATGTTTACTTCGGGTCTAAAAGAATCAATGGAAAATGTCATTGAAATGCATGAGGTTGAATTCTCTCTAATGCAAGACATCATTCAATTTTTCTACACAGCTCAAATTGAGGTAACATGAAGCTTCACACAGTTTTCATTTTTTGGATTTTATTTTTTGTTGTAAGAGTAACTTTGTAAATTATTTCTCTCTTTGTAATTGACTAGGGACCTTTGGCTAAACATACCCACATTCATTTCAGTCACAATTACTAATGCAATTCATTCACTTATACGAAACTGAAATAAGTAACAGGGCACAAAATCTGGTTTTTTTTCCACTTACGTGGCTGCTGGTGTTTAACTTCTATCAAAGTAAAGGCATGTACTCAAAAATTTTGAAATTCAGTGCAGAGGCGGATCCAGCAATTTGACAACACCGGATTCCCTTGATTTAAACCTATGTTAAATAATAGATTCTTGCCAGAGCACCTGGCCCCTCGAAGAATCGATACATTTCTGTAGGTTCAAATGGAGGGAATCCGGTGATGCCAAATTGCTGGATCCGCTTCTGATTCAGTGACATCAAACGATAGACTTAAAAAGCTCAAAAAATTCCCGGAAAAATTCAATCCAGGAGATGAAGGAAACATCTTTTTTCAAAAACTTTGTTTACTATTATTGTTTTTATTTATTTAATTCTTTCATTTATTTATTCACCCTCTATTTTTTTTCTCATTTTTATGACTCATCTTGAGTATGTATTTTTATCTTTTAATTTCCAGCTCAACGAAACAAATGTGTTTGATTTTTGGAATATGGCAAATTTTCTCCAGAGCACCCATCTGAGAGGAGCTTGCAAGCAGTATTTGTTCAAGGAGATAAGCACTACCAATTGTCTAGGCATCTATGAACATGCCCTCTTGTACAATGAATTAGACTTTAGTGACTTTTGCTTTCAGTATATTCTAACGCATTTTCAAGGGATTATTAAAACAAATGAGTTTTGTCATACATCCTTCAAAACTCTTCACAAAGTGTTAAGCTCAAAGGTTGTGAATGTTCTCCATGAAGCAGATCTATATAAGGTAAAAAACATTAATTTTCAATATTATTAAGGACATAATGAAGGAAAGAAATTATAATTCACAAATAAGGGGCACATTTTGGTATTGAAACTACAAAATCATGTATCTAGGCTTGGTTGTGCTGATTTCCTGTCACATTTTGTCTCTTTTAAAGATGGTTAAACATCCATACTGTGCTAGAAAAAAATGATGTATTAGCCTTCAGACATTGCCAAATCTCCCTTGATAAAATACATACTTTTGAAGAAGTATATACATATTTTCTCTTGAATTTCTCAGGTATTTTAGATTAAATTGCAAACATAATCGTCTGGAAAATTTAAAGAAAAATGTTCACATTTTCCCCTGAAAATTCTTCTTGTATTGGAGGAAATATGGCAACGCCTTCAGCTCAAACAGCGTTCTTTCTTAGCGCAGCAGCATATTGCACCAAATTTTTTAAGGTTTTCCTTGCCTTTTCTCAAATGTTCACTGAAATGAGGTACAATAATGTCTTGTTAGTAATATTTTCTAATAAAAAGAGTAAAAAAATAAGCCAGGTGTTGAAATCTAGGAAGACTGAATTCTGTGCATCATCAAGATCGGAGGTTTCTCCAGGATCCAGAAAGTAGCATAGGGTTTCAGGTCACATACCACAAACACTCAACTTCTTTTTCCATGTAAATTTACTCTAGTAATTCGATTTTTCGTGCATGTTGACAGGCTATAAAACAATGGGTGATGTTTGATTACTCAAACCGCGAGGAATTTATTCAACCCCTCTTACAAAGGATCAGTATTCTAAAAATTTTAGATTCTGATCTTGAGGATCTCTTGAGAGAAAATTCTTCCAATGATCTTCCTTTCCAGCAATTCCTACTAAATTTAAGAGAAATTAGGCAAAAAATTCGTTACAATGATGCTGAAAATTGTGACAAAGAGATATTCAAAACCATGAAGTCCACATTTCGTTGTTGCTCAATTATGAACGTAAGTATAATTTTAATACAGTTCAGGCCACTGTTTTTAGTGTTTTTTTTCCTGTAGAATTTTAATTTCTACTAATTTCAAACAGTCACCATACAAAATTCTTTTGAAGAAGTAAACATTTCAAGGTTTGAGACTTTTCTTGAGGTTCTGCTCTGTTCTTGCCATCAGTTCAATGAGCCGCGATGATCATAATAAGTCATAGAAGATTGTCAGGATTTTCATAGAGCCACTTGACAAGATGGGTCCAAAACTATCGATCAAAAACTCAGGATGTTGTATCACAACATAACCAAACGGTCACATAAAATGGGCAGCCACAAAGTTTTGGCTTAAAAACCACTTCCAAACCTCAAAATGAATTTTAAAAATAAAAGATTCAATGTGCGAGTGTCAAATTTCCCTTACACTTTCATGGACAAATTAACCTGTCTTGAACATCAATTTTTTGTTGATTTTAAAGACGTATCTTATCATTAATTGATCACTGATCTCATCAATAATTCCTTCAAACAATCATTTGATGGACAAACTGGGGTGAAAATGAATACAGTTGACTTGAAAAGTTAAAGATTCGCGAGCCGGAATAATTTAATTACTTGCGTTTCAATGAATTTAAATTGAATTGAAAATAGACTATGTGCAATAACAGACTGAAGACTTTTATAAGAAGGACTTCCAGTTATTGTGGAGGTGAAATTGTAAGTGGTGAAGATCTTTCACACAACCCCTTTATGTACTTGCTTCAGGGATTACAGTATTCATGAGAAATGAGACCTGTGCTTTCTAGATATCACTGTCGAAGATTGCTGGGTGGGAAACATTTTTTTAAATTGCAAATCATTTTTCAGCTTTTACAAGACAGTAACTTCCAACTAACCTCTCTTTAGGTCATCTTCGCGATTGGTGGAATGTCAGCCACAAACGTTCCGTTACGAAATGTTGAGTGTGTCACTGTAGGATGGGAGCATTGGAAATGTGTGCGCCCAACAATAACTTTTCACAATGGAAGACCGCAACAAGAAACCAAAGTCATTCCTACCATGAGCCAAGCTAGACACTATCCTGGAATTGCAGTGCATGATGACTGTCTGTATGTCCTAGGTATTGTAGAATCTATCTGAAACTCATTTATTGATCGAGCAGTAAAGTCTCCTGTCTCATGTGTATGGAATAAAGCTCTTGAATTAAACTATCATCATGAAAGCCAAAATGGCTTTAAGCCAGAGGTGTAAAAAGTTCCAAGCGTTCCCCCATTTTTAGCCCAAATTTATTACTGCTTCCTCTGAAGAAAAGGAACAAAAAAAACCTTTACGCCAAAGAATTGCAGTTCCCCTGTTTTCCTATTCTAGCTAGGATTTCTCCATTTCACACTGGCGAACAACTGGCCCGATCTTGTGTTTGAGAAGTTTTCGCACCCCTGTCTTAAGCTTTGATGAAGTTTTTTTTTTTTTTTTTTTTTTTTTTTTTTTTTTTTAATCTTTTGAGAATTGAACTGAAGATATTTTAAAAGTTGGCTTAAAACTTTCCAAAGAAATTTTACATTATTCTAATTTTGAGTGCACCATGTAAATCAATAATAAACATGAAAAAAACGTCATCTCAATGCTTGAAGTCCCAGATTTTCTGTTCTATTTCATTTTCGTCTAGGAATAGTGATCAACAGTATTTTCTAACGCTCTGTGTTGCCATGTCGCGCACATGAAGCTGACACTGGCATACTGGTGCTGCACTGATCTAAACTGATACCAAACATCATACCAACATTGAGCAAACTGAAACAACAAAACAATTTGTTGCAAACTAAACACAACTAGCAAACTAAAACAAACTAAATATGGCAAACTTGTAACAAACGGTTGTTGATCATGTTCAAACTTTGAGCCAAAAAATTTTTTTGACCCCAGGTTTTAAAATTTTTTTTAACTGTTCATCGAAGTTTCTCCTGGTGCCATCAGAATTAGTATGTGAGAACACTCTGATATGGTAGGTATTGAAGTTAATATTTTTTCTGCTTTCTCTCAAGATTCTCCCAGAAAATATTTATCAAATTTTTTTCTGAAAGAAAAAATTTGGCCAGCATTTTTATACTCTGCAATTGCAATACATATGTGTTGTTTTTTTTAACCATTACCATCAGAGTATGATTGACCCAATCAAAAGTGCTCTTTAGTTTCTTGATTGGTGATTAAAACAATTTCTGATGGTTTTCAGGTGGAAACAATAATGATGTCCAACTAGCCTCTGTAGAAATGTATTCTGTAGCCTCAAATGAATGGCGAGAGCTTCCTCCTATGCCAATCACATTGGCAGGATGTGCAGCAACTTGTTATAATGGAACTGCCTATGTTTGTGGAGGTGTGATTGATATGGTTCCCAATACTACTAGTCTTATTTTATCATCAGAACTCTTGGTAAGTCAAAAGTATTTTGCAGAAAATGCCTCGAATAATTCAAATGTACAAAGTAGCTTTTAGTATAAAAAAGTTTAAAAAGCTAACAGTTGCCATCTGTTGAAAACAATGAAATTTTTCATGAAAACAATTTTCCTAAAAAGAGGAGCCTTATCTTAGAATTTTAGAGTTTTTTAAACAGATGATTTGAAAGTGTCATTGTTTCTAGGATTAATTTAGCAAGTTGTCTACCAAAGACCAGACACACAAGTTTGTTAAGGCTATGTCTTGCACATGTGTTGGCCATGTTCAGTGTGAGTAGTTTTTGCGCTTTACCAGTACCTACTGTAAGCCTGATATTTCCACGCATTGCGCATATAAGACGGGTAACTGATAACAACGTGTAAATGCAATTTTTGTCGAGCACTGATCGCTGGGTCAGTTACACTATCCCTAAGCTCACTGATTCATATGTGATGTAATAGCAAAATGCAGGAAGGAAATTAAACAAAAAAAGTCCATGTTCTTTCACAATATAAATTTTTTTCAAATTAATTTTCTTAATTATTGTTTTTTAATTACTTCACAAAGTTGCTTCTTCAGGTTCGTCGTGTAGTCTGGAAGTTGTTAAAATTCGCCTTTTACTCATTCTGTACAGTCAAAAAGTTCATTATTCCTGAAATATTATACTTCAGCATTGTTTTACTTTTACATTTTCTAGGCCTTTGATATTAGTAAGAAAATTTGGACAAAATTAGCCCCAATGATTCATGCCAGGTGTTTTCATCAGTTGGTTGTGGCAAGGAACATGCTTTTTGCCATTGGCGGACAAGGTATTGCCAACCCACCTTTTTTCTCTGCAATATCCTTCTTCATAATTGCTATTTTTATCTTAAGATTACGAATTTCGTTTCATTTTCTCTTTTGTAATGGTCAGTTCTCGTATCTTGCAAGGTTTATTTGTAGCTCTTGAAAATTAAAGAATCAAAATCACCTTGGAGGAAAAAGGGAAATCGTAGGATTTGTAGCTAATAGATAGAGGATGAGATGTTTTTCCTTCTGTTCAAGGCCAGCAAAATTGAATATCATGAATTCCTCAGGAATCTGGCCCCTCTTTGGTCATTCATACTTAGGTGTAGTGGAAATGTAGTACTGCACCATCAGACTCACCTTTTTCAGAGTAGCGTGTACCTGTCACTGCAATGCACCAATTTGTTTTTTAACTATGAATGGTTTTTACGCGTCATTATAAGGGTCCCTTGTATCAACGAGGGAAAACAAGAACTTCAAGCAAAGGGGAAAAAACAATGCAGAAACCACGATTATGATATTTTAAGAAACACGGCTTAAATTAATCGAAATTGAATCGGCCATTCTAAAAAAGGCTTTCTAACCAGAAATGAAACCAAGAGAAGTGTGCGGTAATAACCGTTTCAATCAACCCGTTCTAAATTTCAGAGCTGTAAAATATTAAAGTGACAAATTAATTAATCATATTATCATATTAATAATTTACCTGCTGTTTAACACGAGTCGATGAATACAGTTTTCACTGTTTTTCTAATGTTTTTTTAACTGGCGGTCAAGTTTTTTTGAAGATAACGGATTCAATTGGCAAAGTCTAGTGAAAAAAACTTTAATTTGCAAAATTCCTATTTTCAAGAGAACAACAAAAAACTGTATGTGACCTCTAATTGTACGCCAAGAGGTAACATTTATGATTAAAAATTCTAGGAAAAGATCCTGTGCACCCTCTCAGTCTCAGTTGTAAATAACAGCTCACCTAAGCACCCATGAAAATTCAGTGTCACGTCTCTTTTAGAAGTTTATAATCCACTAACATGAAGATATATTTTGTTTAAGTAATCCGTGGACATTTTCTTTCAGACATGAATGAAGAGCCTCTTTCTAGTGTTGAATGCTATGACTTCGAAACAAATTCATGGATAGAAGCTATTCCAATGCACGAGCCAAGATCTCATTTTGGCTGTGTTGCATCTGATGGATATATCTATGCTGTCGGTGGGAAAACTCATAAAAGAATCCTTGCAACAGTTGAAAGGTAATTTTATGCTTTTTTGTTAGTTATACTCTCTTTTAGAACGGTACAATTTCCATTTCTGAAGAAGGCCTGACAATGTTATGACGTTACCGCCTTTCCAAAGATAAACTTATTCCAAAGCAAATAAAATGAGTGGATGTAAATTTTTATCAAGTGTTCAAAAAAATTATTTTTCCAAAAGAAATGGATATTAAAAAAATGTGAAGGATTTGCCAGTTCATTCTTTTTCAACAAGGAGGCTCTGAAATAAAACTTGCTTGTCTATCTCTGATTCTAGAATTTTATCTTTTAAAAAGCAAAGTTCCTCTTTATGTTTTATCATCTAAAAGTTTTAATTCTCCCTGGGACAGGTATGATGTCTTTTTGAACCAGTGGGTGTACAAGCGTTCGCTTTCTGTTGCTCGTTTCTCCATGGGCGTTACGCTTTCGGGATCTCGTGTCTATTGTTGTGGTGGTGAAGATGAGTTGCATCGCACTCTGTCTACAGTTGAGAAGTACAATATTTTAACAGACCGATGGCACAGTGTGCTGTCAATGCAATGCCCACGGTTTGGGCTTGTTGCTGCATCAATCTTACTTCCTGCATTAGATGAAGCTCCACCATAGGTAAGTTTACAAAATTTTGCTTGATTTGAGGAGAGTGTTTTTATGCGAATGTTTTGCTTTCATTTATCTAAGTTATTTTAGAATTTCGGTAGGTATGTCATCATTGAAATTGAAGTATTCAAAGGGATGTGGAGTAATTGTTTCATCCATTCATCACTTTATTCTTTCCTGTTATCTGGAAGCCCTGTAGCTTCACGGCTTGGCACACAAAGAACTCTCATGCAGTGAGAGAGAAATAAGACAGTTTGTGCAGATACTTGAATTGATCAATCCCTCTAGAGAATATTTGAGCAAATTATCAAAGTTTTATAAAATTACACATTGGCTTTGTGAAATTCCTCACTGAGCGTTCTATTTTTCGCGATCATTTGCTGAAATAAATGGTTTTTTTATTTGAATATATTTGGACTTTTGTATTTCAAGTATCTGCATGAATTGTAGGTAAGAATTTGGATCAAATGCATCTTTTTCTCATTTATTTTCAATCTATGCTCTCTAATTTTTTTCATGTGCTTATTCAGTTAATTTTTTTCACTATCAACACGCTAGATTCTTAGACTTGGAAGGCCCTGACCCTTTCTATTAATTAATCATAGCTATTTGTTAAAGAAGGAATCTTGTAAGAAGAATGAAATGAAATTAGAAATGTCTTTTTTATTTCAATTTATTGGTATATTCAACATTCTAGCTGAATCATTCAACAATACATAAATACTTACAATTTTACAACAAAATATCACAAGCGTCAGTATCAGAGAATAAAATAAATAGGTATGCAGACAAAACAGGTAACTACAAACTTTGAGTAGGAAAATAATTTAGGATAATTTAAAACAGCCTACAAATCTTTACCCAGTCTCTGTATCTCCTCAACAAAGAAATCCATATCAGAATGGTTGAGTCCAGAACTTTGTATCACTAATCGGAAGAAGTTAGGTAAATCGTCAAGAGGTTGGTATGTAACCATCATTGTTCCATCCTTCATCATTCGTTCTTTAATCTTTGGTGCAACCTGCAATAGAGGGATAGTTTAAAGTCATCTTATTCACAAGGTTATTTGCTTATCCTGTATGGCAATATGGGTGCCGGATGATTTTGGTTCGAAATGATTCATGTTTTACCATATCCATTTAATTGTTCCAGTTATTGCGTTAAAGTTTCCAGTTATTCGTTATTTTCGTAAAAACTCCTTGAGGAACCTACTCCCATAGAAACTTCTTTGAAATTTCACTTCATTAGTGATGAGTTTTTTTAACTATCAAAATTTCATCAAAAAATTCATTCTTACTAAGATAAGGCTCTTGTGAGGCAAAATTTCAATGAACACCAGTTCTGCAATCAACTTTGAACGATATATTTTTTTTTAAAGACACTGCCTTTCCCCCCCCCCCCCTCATAAATGTCACTGTGTAAGCTCAAATGTCATGTGCGTATAAAGATACATCGATTTAATTTCATGAGAAGCACCTCAGAAAAGTTAGATTTAATACTCGGACAATCTATCGCAAATTTGTTCAATCAGTCATCATCATGTGGTCTTCGAGAGAAGACTCTTCCCCTAATACTGTTTAATGAATTGAAGTCCAATTTCTGAATTGCTTAATTTATTTATTAAAATTCTAGACTATTTTGAATTTGAACCTCAAGACTGCTTAATGACCAAGTAAACTTACCGTATTTAATTTACAATAGTATTCTTCATCTCTCTTAACGTTTTGCAAGCTGGGAGGGATGTACCAGAAGCAAATGTTTGTGCACTCAGGCTCAGATAGAACCAATTCAAAGTTTGGATGATCTCTGATTTTTCTGGTGAAATATTCAGCATTGTCAAATATTGTGTCCACGTGTTGCTCAAGACCATCAGTACCCTGTTGGCAAGATACGTTAAATAAAATGTTGACATCTTTTCATAAATACAAAGCCTTAGAAATACAAAAGTCAATAGCAACTGATCAGTTAAAACCTTAACTTTTATATGGTTTCGTTGCAATAAGTATAGTAATCAAAGTTTCTGTAGGTAAGTCCAGAATCAAGAATTCTCGTCTTAACCTGAAATATCGTAAACTCTTGCTCATCATAATTTGTATTGAAACCACAAATGGCAGGTAACCTTAGAGCCAAAGTACGGAAATTCATTTTAGTTTTATCACTTATGGGGGGAGAGACATTAAAGTCTAAAATGTACTATGTCTGTGTAAAATTGGTTGAACTATTCTAATAGGCAAGTAGAGTAATCAAAAAATTGGTTTCATGTTGCTTAATAAAGAAGTTTTCAGAGGAAAGTTTCTGTATGAAAATTATGCCAACCCAATCGCATAGAATGTTGCAAACGTTACTCATTAATACCCGAGTCAGGATGTTCTTCCATAGAATAATTTCAACATACTGTTATCATATCAGTCGCCTCAATCGAAAAATGCGTATCTCCATTGCAGCGTTTCAGAATTTCAGATTATGTTTTCTCTCTTGAAAGAAGAAAACCCAACTAAAACATCCTCTTGGGAACTTCTATGAATATTTTTGAATGAGTTTTCAAGAAAATGTGTTGGTTAGTTTTCTTCCTGAAAAGTAAAACCTCAGCAAAAATTTGCAATGCCTCAATCAAAGATGCATATTTCTTGACTGTAGCCATCGATAAATTGTTATTGGCTTCATTTCACGTATTGCTGCCCTCAGCTCCTTTTTTGTAAAGTCATTAGCCATTTTTCCTTCCATATCTACAAAATAGCATGTACATAGTCATTTACAAAAAAAAAATTTCTCACCTTCGCTTTCCACATAAACCAGAATTTCAGAACATCAACTCGGCGACCACACTGAACATGTTTGTCCCCTGTATCGTATTTCATGTCATAAAATTTATCCTTTTGGAAGAGATATTGTGCCTCAGCTGAGTGGCACTCGGAGAGTATATTTTTGTGGGGAGTCAAAAATGTAGAACATTGTTGAGGAGCAGCCAGTAACTTGTGAGGATTCCATGTCACAGAATCAGCTCTGTAATCAAATGAACATTCATTTAGGGGATATTCGTGAAAGACATAATGCTCTTGGAGGGATGAAGAAGAGTCGAGAGAGCATCACACCATTTTGTTTTTACTTGTTAAAATATAGGGATTTACATTACAAGAGCATTACGAGGAAGGGGGGGGGTCGAAAATCTGAAATTTTATATCATATCATGGTAACATAGTTCCTTTTAGCATAAATATATCCACCTCAGCTTTATTAGCTTAAAATCCTCAGCTTATGAGTGTAGCACTCGAGTTTATACAAATAAACGTAACCAACATCATTGAAGAGTTCAACTTCATGAAGGCAAGTGAACCGAGCTAGGACATCTTGTAACCTATAAATCTAAAGCAGAAACTTGTCATCAGTCATGAGGGTATGAAAATTTGTTTAGTTACCTCTCAACGCCTTTCAGAAGGTGTTTGTATCTTTTGGACATGAGGGCACCACCTCCCCATGCAGCGTCAACATGCAGCCACATGTCGTACTTTTTGCAAATGTCTGCAATTCCTTCAATTGGATCGTATGCTCCTAAGACAGTTGTCCCTGAAAAGTTAGAGGTAGAAAATTTAGCTCCTCTGCAATTTATTTTATAAGTCTAAATTCTAAAAATTCAAAGATGTTGAAATTTTGGATTGAAAGTCAAGTATGGAAAGGTGGAAAAAAGAGGGTTCATCCTTGTTTTCAAAATTTTTATAGTTTTGAACATTCAAAATTCGTGAATTTCTTCAATTTTTTGTCGTTTTTCAAACTATTATGGTGGCAAAATTTTGGAAGTTCTTATACTTTTGCAAGAATTTGAAAGGCAACAATTTTTACGACCTCTTCTACAATAGCTGAAAGTGAGACCTTCTATTAAAAATATTCATCCCACAGCTTAATACCTCATACAATTACTTTTTACTCATACAATTACATTTTTTTTTTTTATTACAAGCAAATTTACAATTGGAAAAATAAATTTAAAAAAACTTTCACAGCATCCCCTATGCCTTAAATTGGTGTGCAATGATATCTTTCAAGTCGATTCATTATGAGGGAANGGGGGGGGGGGGGGGGGATCACAGTTGAAGCGATTTAATTCTACTAAATTAATTTTTCCTGCAGAGTGAAAAAAAGTCACTTTTCATATTAATTTAATCTCCATTCATCATGAATTTTAAGTTCCATATTTTTTTCTTCTCTCCTTGTGTTAGCAGACACTTTTAATTATTCCTCCTTATTACTACTATCTCCTCCCCTCTTTTCTCTAAGAAAATGAATTGTTGACAATTTTGAAAGGTATTTCAAGGACTGAGGTTTTTTCTCCAATACCTATATCTATACTATCATTTTCAAAGATGTTGATTCTTTAAGTGTAAAATGGCATCGTTGCATTCTCAAAACTTAGGGATTTCCTCAGTCCTAAAATCAGAGCAATAGATTTTCTGAATATGGTAGGATTTATGAAACATCAGCTTTGAGGATGAATATCAGTGGAAGGAAATTACCTGCTGTGGCTGACACCAAGAATGGAACGGCATTGTCTTTCAAGGTTGCCTCAACGCTCTTCTCCAGCTCATTGAGATCCATTTTCCCTCTGCTGTCCGTTGGAATTAGACACACATTATCTGATCCCAAGCCTTGAAGTGAAGCCATTTTCTTTATTGAGTAGTGAGCATCTGCAGAAGTATAGAGCACCAGTCTAGGAAGTGATTGTAATCCTTTTGTCTGCAAAAGAATTGAAACATCAGTATTTGGCCGCACTTAGTCTCAGGGGCTGTTCATGAAATACTTAACGCTCCAGGAGAGGGAGCTGAGGTCGAAAAATCCGAAATTTAGCGCTACGTTGTGGAAGGCCCCTCACAATTTTTGGTGGGTAGTCATATTTTGAGTCATATTTTACCTCCTCGATTTGAAGACCGCAGGAAAAATAATTTCTTGTAGGTCAAGGAAACCCCAGTGGTCGAAAATGTCATTTTCAACCAATTTCTGTTGTCAGCCAAATTTTAATTCCAATGATTCGCGTATTCGACGCACTCGTGACCGACAGCCATGTTGCGTTTCCTTATTTTGAAGGCGATTATCAGGATTCTGTGTTCTTCGCTTCGAAACTTATGAAATTTTCCTAGGATAGGGGGCAATGGCGATTGGGCGTCGCAGAGCGCGAGGCTGCGCTGTGAAAACGGCTTAATGTATGTGTAAGATTTTCCTGAATTTTTCCCGGAACTTTCGAAATTCCCGTAGTTTTCCAGAACTTTCTTGGAACTTCAGAAAAAAATCTGAAAAGAATCTCGGAACTTTTGACGGTCATGGAGTTGGAGAAGTTGGAACATAAAAGTTCCGAATCCTGGAACTTTTCAACGGACATGGAATAGGGTGTCTCTTACTGCACTCCCCCAGACCTCCCCTCCCCAGTTAGGTGCTCTCCCTGCCCCCTTCTTCCCACCAAAGTTCTTAATTCGGCTCATGCTCAGAGCCAGACTTTTTTTTAGAAATATCGTGAATTAATCAACGATCTCGTCAAGGATTTCTACCGCCATATTTGAATAATTTCTATAAAAAAATTATAATTTTTTTTTTTTAAAAAATGTAAAAAAAAATAAATAAATAATCAAGAAAAGCCTCAGTATTGCAATCTATAATAAAATTATTAACTCTCTGTCTAAACTTGCGACAGAGCGCTAAACTCGATCATGAGCCTGGGGCAGACACATATTATTATCTCCTCATTCCAGGTCCAGAAGCATCGAAGAAGCGTATCCGGCGCACAGTAGATCGAGTCAACTAGGGAGGTCGGACATGAAATTTTAGACAAAAACTGCGAATTTTGATGTTTATTTCGTCTCATTTAGAAGGTTTAGGGGCGTTTCCAGGAGAAAATTTCACGAGAAAACTAATGGAACCACTTTTAGAACCTCAACGTTTTGTATAAACGGAGTTATAAGCATTAAAAGTTTCCCAATTTTGTTCGAACTCTCCTTTTGACGCGATCCACTGAGCGGCGTCACAACGCTGAATAATTTTTGGTCACATTTCATTGATTTCTCTCCTCTGGGCTCCACCGTAAATTGGACTGAGTTAAGCAGAAAGGAACCAACCCACATTTTGGAAAAAATTGAGTTATGAGTCGTTTTGAACTCAACCACTGCTGTACTATCTATCGCCGAAAATTCAAAGTTTTTGTTAAAGCAAATTTTGCATAAATTGAACTTGATGTTTATCTTTTACATTTAGTGTTATGTAGGAGCCACACTTAAAACCTCTTTTTCTCGGTTCGATCCCGATGTGGCTTGGTTCCTTTCTGTTTAACTCCGTCCTATTTTCTGTACCATATTCCTCCGGAAATTGCAATTGACAACATTATTCGTCAACATCTGTGACAGCGACGATGTTTAAAATCATTGCACCCGGCCGCGCAGAGACCTGCCCCGCGGTCCATCACGCCCTGTAAAACCGTATAGCTTTAGTTAATCATCATTTCGGTATTCCCATCATATTCTCTCGAGGAATTACCCATAAAGAGCTTTACGCAGCCTTGACGGTTCAACTGGAAAAACTATTATTACCCACTTCTGAAAATTCCTTCGGTTGATGTCCGTTGCAAAATCTGATTCCATTTATACTTCAAATCGATTTTTTCCTCCTACCAATCTGATTTTTTCTCGGCGAGCAACGAATTCAAGTCTGACAAACATTTCGGTTGCGAATTCGAAAAACGCCTGTTTTGATTGTTCAAGTGGTAACCGGAAAAATTAAGCCGAATGACAATTTATTATTTCGGAAAGCGCAACTGAAATTGATTTCATGGTCCGCTCCCGACTGAAGTAAACTTCAGTTTCTCGTGAGCGCAAGATTTGATTCGACGAAAAAGTACGCAATTTGTCCATTTATGCATTGAATTTGAAATCTTTTGTAAAATCCACCGTGCTCTACTTAAAATTTTGATGAGAAAATATCGATGGTGAAACTGCAAAAATGCGTATCTCGGTCGCGGTGGTTGGTGGTTCGGAATAATCTCCGCTCCTATTTTAATTTTTAAAAGGAGACCAAACTCAAATCATGGCTTGCAATTTTCACAGAACATTATTTATGTACAGAAGAAAAGTCACTGAATTTTTTTTAGAAAAAAAAAGTTCAGTAGTTTTCCATGTAGAAAATAAAGTTTGGCTGGCGAAGTCTGCAACGCCGCAATCGGAGGTAGGTTTGCAGTTTCACCATCGATATGTATTGTGACGCTTAAATTCTTATTGTGGATATGGTGATTGGCAGGCGGAAATGTAACTTTTTCGGTTTTCTTGGGAACAGAGGCGGATCCAGAAATTTGACAACACCGGATTCCCTCCATTTAAACCTATGCTTAATAATCGATTCTTGTCTGAGCTCCTGAGGCCCCTCCAAGAATCGATACATTTCCATAGGTTTAAATAGAGAAGAGACAATGTTGCCAATTTGCTGAATCTGCCAATGCTTGAGAACCATTTAGTAGGTAGCGTAGGGTTTTCGAATTATTTTACTTTTGAAAGTTTCTTTGCCGTTGCAAAACTGTTTCTTCTTCAACGTAATGGACCACTAGACATGCACGAGTTCATACATTCTGATACATGTTTCTTAACAAGAATTTCACGTAGAACACGATTCGCACAACGAAAATTGATGAAACCGACTCCTAACGAAGATATTAATCTTTTGGATTTTGAACTGCCCGCTCACAAGAATCTCACAGCTCTACGTGAGTCGAATCGCGCATTACAACGGTTTCAGCAAGCCTCTCAATCGAGCAATGTTCATTTCCTACCGTGGGTTGTTCAAACTATGAGCAATTTGCTGTAGCTGAGCCAAAGCGTCAAGATTGAGGTTGCCAGATTTTCATATCGTAGAGACTGTCGTGATAACGTTCAGCGCGATGTGAATCACGCAGAGCATTGAGTTTTCATGAGCGGGTGGTTTGAATTCACGCATCAAGAATCATTAAGTATCTTTGTAAGGAGTTGATTTCGGTAATTTTCGTCGTGCGTATCGTGTTCCACGTAAAATTTTAGTCAACAGGGTGTCTAGCATCAGGAAAAACCGGAAAATATCAGGAATTTTGGCCAATCAGGAAAAAATCAGGAAAGTATCAGGAAAATCGGAAAAATCGGACGTTTTATCAGGCATTTTTCGTACGCGAATCTCCTCAGCGGAGAAGTTTCACTGCTTTTTGCCTACCGTGCCAGGAGTCGTCGCGCCGTCTTTGTTTCCAATAATTTCTTAAAGAAAAATCAGGAAAATATCAGGAATTTTCAAAAAAAAAAAATCAGGAATTTCTTATGATCAGGACAATATCAGGATTTTTCAAAATTAAAAAATACTAGACACCTTGGTTAAGGTACATGTATCAGAATGCTGAAATTCGTACCTTGTCTAGTGGTCCATTCGGCGTCACTTGTTTCAATAGCTCTAATGGCCGATACGGGATCCCTAGGGTGTTTTTGCCTGTGGGTAGTCCAATTTTCAAAGCAACGTGACTTTTAAAACTCATGCATCTGTCCACTATAAGAGCCCAATCAACGTCTCAACAGGCGCGCGAAGTCATCAAAGGAGCCGCGTGCCGGCCACCGAGTTCGCGACTGGATGCCCACGGAAAAGTGTCCATCTTCATTGATTGATTTTTTTTTCTTCCTCTTAATTCGAACCAACCACTTCGCCAATTGATTGATCGTTAATTGCCGCGTGCCTCGGAATTGGCAAATTGCGATTCGTTTCTTCGATTTGTCTATTTTTAAGTTTTTTTCATGAGTCGGTCCCCTGCGTCTTGTTCCTTGCACACGAGTTGTGCGTCGCATTCGGGATGGAACCAAATGAATCGATCGAATAGGAAACAAAATACCGAAAGACGTCACGTCTCATCGCAATTTCTCAGTACCAACTTTCAAGTTGTACGTTTACAGCTCGCTTTAAGACTTGTCAATTCAAACTTTCCACTCGCGACTAAAACCCAAATAAACGCACAAAATTGATACAAGTACTGCCGTAAAAACGCCGAGCCAAAAAGTGATCGCTGATTCTATGCTTGTCATGAATGGAGGATTTGCACGCGAAAAATGCATTTCCCCATCCGAGAGTGCTGAATGAGCTGAGTTCGCAGTGTTTTCATACATTTTTTCTAATTTTGGTAATTGTAAAAAAATAGGTTTAAAAGCGAGGAAATTTATAGCCTCGTGACGCCATTCGACGGAATTTCCTATTTAAACAAATTTATTTTAGAAGTCCAGGTTATTTTTTCATATCTCCTTAAATTGTCACCAAAATTATACAAACCAAGCATTTTCTCGTGCTCAGCTCTCTCATTACTTCCATTTCAAACAAGAAATTCCCCAAATTTCAGACACTTGCAAATTTTCCATTCTACAAAACTTGTCAAAGCGACCTTCAAGTTACTTTCTATCCAATCGAAAACCGCCGTTTGTCCATGGAAAAAACTGTTACTGTGGAAACTTCTCGCGCTGAAATTCTCCTCGGGACAACCGGAATTTCCTTGTCTACAAGAAACTCCGATTTTTATAAAATGTCGGAAATAAATCCGGATTTCACTAATGCATCGATATTCTTGTGGATTCGTATCCAACGATAGAGTAATTCGATTTTTAAGCGGAGAAATTTCGACTTGGTGCCCCCCTTTTTGCCTCCTTTTCCGCTCCTTTCAGTCCCTCAGTTTCTCAGAGAAAGAGGGAGTGGTATAGAAGCCCCCTCCTCCCATTTTACTGTATCCGCCGTGTGTTTTCTTCCTCTCTCGCTCATTCTGGTCAGTCAGGATGAGTGCGATAGTGAGTCGCTTTCTTTCCTTCTTTAGCGTCTCAAAATTTAAGTTGGCAAAGGGTTCAAAGCGGTCATGATGACACGTGCGTTCAGCGGACGCGCGTGCACAGGTCGTTGCCCACAGTCGGTAAGTGCCCTCGTCAATCCTTCGAATTTTTTGTTTATTTATTTTTGTTTTTTTATTTTTGTTGTTTTTCGCGAATCACACTGCCGGCGATACCGTAATTGGCTTTAACATACAATAAAAAAAAAAAAAAAAGACTTAGCGGACAAAGCGTAATAAGTGCAGTTTTTGCAATTTTATTATACACGTGTTTAAAGTTTTTAAATAAACAGAGTTTCTATAAACTAAGTTTTATAACGGAGAAAAGTTCCAACTCACTTTTTGATGCTTGAAAGTTGAATTTTTTTGGCGAATTTTTCACGAAATGTATTTTAAGACAAAATTTAGGTGAAATCATCATTATCTCAATTTTTTCAAAAACTACAGTTATGCGTCTTGCCCTCCAAGTCCATCAATTTTTATTTGAATTCATTATTTCTGAAATAGAGGGGAGAGGGTGCTGAAAACTCTCTCCTTTATTCCTCCCCGTTACATGCCTGCCCGGGTGAGGGGTGAGGGATTGTGGGCGATGAGTGCAGTGAGAATTGATTTTTCATCGACCGTCTAATGTATAAGTCCAAGCTAAATATTATTGCATATCTTTGCTCGTCAGCAACTTTGCAAATCATACTAAATATTATAAAATCATAAGAGTAACTCAAAACGTGCAAGACGCAAAGCAGTTCAAGGGGGTGGACCGCGAAGCGGTCAAGGGGCAAACCCTCTAGTGTATCAAAATACTTTTGACTGTAAAGACAGAAGATTCCGGTATTATTTGGCGTAGCCATTTGCGAGAGGATTCTTATCAAATCAATGTGAAAGCCGAATTTTCGCGAGAAGATTAGGTTCAGTTTTTGATCTATTACCAACCTACGTAACAACGAATCGAGGTATTCTCCACTCTCAGTGGCGAGACGTGAATGTTCAATCAACGATATTTCCCCATTTGAAAGTAATGGTAAAGAATCGATTATTAAGGTGTTCGTTGCGAACACCCTGTTTATCGATATTTTTCCATAGATTTAATTGGCAGATCATTCGATAGATCGCAAAGCACGCCACGCCACTGTCCAATTTCGAAACAGCTACGACTTTCGGTCTCTGATGATGGCAGCCGCAATGATCGTATCCAAACTTTTCGACCTATCGCCTGAAGTGGGTTTGAAATTGGATAGATGCACACGTAGGCATGTAGTCATCAAATTGTAGAACTTAGTTTTGAGTGTTTTTTTTGTGGGTTGCGACTCTGTCCGTCGGGCTCAAAAGCGACCCGAATCCACTCGCAAATATTCGACCAATCGTTGTAACGAACGACATTGCAGCTGCCATCGTCTTACCATATCGATAGGTCGGTAATGCTAACAAAGTTATTTTTTCCGCGCGCGCCTATCGTACAGAGGAAGGAACGAGACCAAGGAAAAAATGGAATGAGAAAAAAAGCAGTCGTCGCACAGTGGATCGAGTCATTAGGAGAGGTCGGACAAAATTTAGAAAATTTAAACGCTTATAATTCTGTTTACACAAAATTTTGAGGTTCTAAAAGTGGTTAAATTGGTTTCCTCGTGAAATTTTCTTCTTGAAGCACCCCTTAAAATGTAAAATGCGACGAAATAAACATTAAAATTTGCAAATTTAGTCATAAAGCTCATGTCTGACCTCTCCAACAGATTCGATCCACTGTGCGTCGTGCTTTACTGTCGAGGCTCCGTCGTCTGTTTTCTTAGCCTAGCGTTCAAGTCTCCAGACTAGGAAAAAATCGAGTAACCGATAAAAACCGTTGCTACTCTAATTTGTCAATAATATTTCAAGTCGGAAATTAGCATATCTCTTCCCTGACTTTCCGTAGATCTCTCAGTGTAAAAATATCGATACTCATAACTTTGACCTTGATTACTTACGTTACTTGCCCCTCCTAAAATTCCACCCCAGGCGTAAACAGTGAATAGGTCAAAATCATATCGAGACCAGTGGTGGATCCAGAGTGAGTTTGAGAGGGAGGGCCACTTGCTAATGTCGAGTGGGGGGTCTGAGGGGACAGGAAGACACCCCCCTTGAGCAAGGGGGGTCCGGGGGGCCTTCCCCGTAAAATATTATAAAAACAGCAGTGGTGACTTTTGCAAGTTGATAAGACTGATTGTGAGCTCTACCTATTCACATCATTTTTTGTTGAGTCTATTATTTAGAATATATTCAAATGGGATTCAAATAGAGGGGAAGCAATGTTGCCAACTTGTAAGAATTACCTATGGGTACAAAAACTCGTGTGGTGCGGTCAGTGGCGTAGCTAGGAATTCCTTAAGGGGGGGGGGTCCATTTACATTATTTTTTGTACGTCCCTGATAATATTTTATGTCTGCCTTTCAAAGGTAAAAAAAAATGTACAATTAACGAAGCTAAGGGGGAGGGGGGGGGTTCCAGGGGGTCTGGACCCCCCCCCCCCAGGGTTGATGATCGGCCTTACCTTGACTTGCGGGAACTTGTGATATCTTGCGGAACTGATGGCGTATCCGTTGGACATGGAGCCGCCGGGACAGAAGATTCCATCGCCGTCGCCGCTTCCTCCGTGGAAACCGACCATCTTCCGCATTTCCGAGAGGACTTTTTCCTCCATCAGCGTGAACACCGGCGAAACTTCGTACGTGTAACCGCTCGGGTTCAGCGTGTCTGTCAGCCATTGTCCTACCAATCCGTACGGGTCAACGCTGCAATCAGAAACGTGGATCAATCAAAATGAATGCAGCAAGAGCTCATGACGGTCGCGAAATAAAAGCCACGTAGTATGGCTACACTGAGAGAAATTGCAACACATAAGTTTGGTTGCACTGGAAGAAAAAAACACATTGGATTTAGAGTCTAGACTCTTAAAAACATCGACAAGAAAAAGTACTCTCGATTCGATCAGAATCTAGCTTAAATCAAGAACCAAGCCTCTTAATTTAGGCGGATTTCGTTTTGATTCAAGCAAAAATCCGATAGAATCAAGAGTATTTTTTCTAGTCAATGTTTTCAAGAGTCTGGACTTTAGATCCAATGTGTTTTTTTCCAGTGTACGGGAAGTAAAATACAAAATAGCCCTAGCCTTAGACATTTCAACACATAAGTTAGGTTAATACGGGAAGGAAAGTGCAAAAGAACCTTAGCCCTCCGTTGACAATTTCACTGGAAAAAAAACACATTCAATCTAGTGTCCAGACTCTTAAAAACATTGACAAGAAAAAATACTCTTGATTCAATCGGATTTTTGCTTGAATCAAAACGAAATTCGCTTAAATTAAGAGGTTTGGTTCTTGGTTTAAGCTAGATTCTGATTGAATCAAGAGTACTTTTTCTTATCGATGTCTTTTAAGAGTCTGGACTCTAGATACAATGTGTTTTTTTTTCAGTGCTCTAGAGAATATGTCGCTATATGAGTTAGTTTTCTCGAAGAAATTTAATAAAAAAAACGAGGGGTGAATACCATCGTCGCAAGCGGTAGCATTAATTTTTTGGACTAATACCTGAACAAGGGGAAAAATATTCACTAAATCGTCTTAATTGAGAATTTTATAGTTAGCTTCCGCGTTCCAGTTAAGAGCTAATAAAGTTACACTGTCAAAACGCTAGGATCATAAGAGCACAAATCCAAATCTCACGTTTTACTCTTTTTTACAAAATTATAAGAGTAAACGCAGGCCTGAAAGTTTTTTCCTGAGACGGAAAGTGCATTCAGGGTTGTGCAGGCGATGAAATTGAATCACAGAAGGAGTAAACCACCCCTCGTGACTATCCAGCATCCGTGTCATTGACTTGACGAGGAAATCCATTACAAAAGAAGAAAATACACCGAAGCTTGGCCATAAAAAAATACGAGACGAATAATGTGGGCGTGACTGCTCCAAATAGATTCAAGGAGGCACGGCAGAAAAATAAATGAAGTTAGTTGATCGACGCAGAATTTTGATTTTTTTTTTATTCCGACACTGTCCTTCCTTGAAAGGCAATTGTCATGAATTGTTACTCTCAATTATCCAAAGGCACACTACATTTTTTCGTCAAAATAAGTGCACATCGCGTTTTTTTATTTCAAGACTGATAACGTAACGACGCTGTGTAATTTGCTGAAAACCATCGAAAAGTTTCAGAAGAGAGAGAGATAGAGAGAGACAAAAAAAGAAAAAACATTCCTGTCGACAATTTCGATTTACTTATCCCCGTTCGTCTTACGTAAGGGAGGTTGCATTAACATTTGAACAAAGTCAGGTCATTCACGCTTCCGCAACTAAGAGCTCCTTGAATGAAAACTTCTGTCAATGAATGTAAACTGCAGGAAATCGAAAGTCTTAGTTTCTCTTTTTTCATCATTTTTCCGGTCTAATATCGACTAATGATTTATCCTTAGAACGTGATCACGGATTAATTGTTTTTATGTGTAATGAACAATTCCTGAATGATTTCCTGATTATACCCACCACACGAAGAATTTGCGAGTTTCGGTACGGAAAGGGCGGAATATTGTCGCAGTTTCTGTCGCGCAATTCGACGCTACGACAAACCTCTTAAAAACTGCCCCAAAATTCTCGAAATCAAGTTTCCTTCCAAATTCGATCAATCTAAATTAAATAATATCTAACTGATTCAGCTGAATTAGCAAACCTCGTTCTATTTGTAAGAAAACGAGAAATATGAGGAAACCGTATTTATTTGCGCAAAAATTGGCGTCAGTTCAGACAAATCAACGGTCCTTTGGTTATCATTATTCCGCGAGAGAACAGTATTTCGCTTGCTGCCTTTTGCAAATTGCCGCCCTTTTCTCTAAATTATATATTTTTTACATGTTTGACGCAAGTGTGCAGAAGATACTGCTGTCCCGCCTAACATCAAGAACAGGGCCTTTTTTATACCTTTAGTCGGAGATAAGATTCGTCGATCTTATATCATTCGGAGGATATCGGTGGCCAAGATGCAAATCCAAGTACATCTCTTGCAGTTTTTTTTTAAATGTGCGTTCCTATTTTATGTATTAGAGGCGAGCAAACTCAACTTCATATAACTTGAAATTCATACAGAATATTCTGCTAATAGAGACAAAATATCAAGAAGTTACGTTGACTAGTTTTTCAAAGAAAAAATGGAGGATGAAAGGAAGTCTGCAACGTCGCAAACGGAGATACGTGGTTTCGCTCTTCGGCCATCGATATCGAAGAGTCATTTTCATCAAATTCATAAAGAATATTCTGCAAATAGAGAAGAAATATCACGCAAGTTTTCAAGAAAGTACGTTGACTAGTTTTTCAAAGAAAAAATGAAGGACTATGAAAATTTCGCGAAGATCGGAGTATTCGTGCAAATGAATTTTCCGCTTGTATGCCACTAGATCCATTTTCTCTGAACTAATTTATACACTAACTGACCCATCGGTAATTCTGATGTACCTGATTTTCCACTTTTCTAGCAAAGCAGAAGGAAAGCAGGACATCATGAAGGATGGACGTCTGGAGTGGTTGCACTGTCCCCTAAAAACCCCTCACGGAAAAAATTAAATTGCTGAAAAAAAGTGACTTCAATATTTCAACGTAGATTTCACAACACAAAAATGCTACTCTAACCACTGTGGTAAGCTAATTTAACCACGGGGGTGGTCAAAGTACAGTAAAAGCGCGCTAAGTCGAACTACGCTTAAGACGAAGTACCGATTAAGTCGAAGTTATTTTCGGTCCCTAGAAACGTCCATAAGTTTGGTGGAGTAACGGATAAGACAAATTGTCGCTTAAGTCGAATTTTTCGTCTGTCCCTACTTAATTCGACTTAGCGAGCTTTCACTGTAGTATTTTTGTGTTGTGAAATCTACGTTGAAATATTGTAGTCACTTTTTTTAGCAATTTAATTGTTAAATCAGCAATTTAATTTTTCCCGTGCTGCTAACATTTTATGAGAGAATATAGGTCTGTTTACAATCGTCGAATCGTCTTTCGTGTAATGAGCAGCAATGTGGCTGACTCACGCGGTGGGCTTGGCTTCCATTTATTCGTGGAATCCGCGCCGACGAGCCGTCTGAATTCGCCAAAAAAGAGACGAAACAAATTAAGGTCAAGAGATCGAGCGACGCCATTGGTGGATCGCGACCCTCGGCCCATTGCCATGAAAACCGCGAGCCCCGCGGAAGGAATCCACCAATGGCATCGGTCTCTGCCGCTCTCTTTTTTCGTCTCCTTTTCGCCGTTATAAAAACTGCAATTATCGATTTATTATTGATCGCTTATCGTGCGTCGAATCAGGACGGTCCTAGGGCGAGACCGAGCGGCGTGTCACCTCTAATGGCTCGGAAAAAACCGCGCTTGCTCGTTTTTTCTTCTTTTTTCTTTACTTTTTCTTTCCGCGACGCTCTCCGCAATTGGGAAGGCGGACTTTAAATTTCCCGGAACCTAATGTCAGGAGCGCGACGTGTCTGCCGCAGCCTGGAGTGATTTCCGAGTGGAACACTTCCGCATTCAACCGTCTCGAAAAAGTTCGGTGTTTTCCTGAATTTTCCCCAAAAATTTTTCGCGCTGTCTTTCAGAATCCATCGTCATTTAACCAAACGTATCCAGCGAGAATCACCGTCGCGCAGTGGACCGAGTCAATATGAGAGGTCGGACAAAATTTGGAAACTTTAATAGCTTATAACTCCGTTAACACAAAAATTTAAGGTTCCCAAAGTGGTTTCATCGGTTTTCTTGTGAAATTTTCTTCAAGAAGCACCCCGCAAAATTTAAAATGTGACGAAATAAACATCAAAATTTGCAGTTCTAGTTAAAAATTTCATGTCCGACCTTTCTGATTGACTCGATGCACTGTGGGTCGCAAGACGAGGGAAACGGGGGAAGAGATGTCGACACAAACAGGAAATTTTAGCACCCTATGATCAACATGTTAAGTTTCAACCGCCTAGATAGTTTTTTTAGCTGAATTTTGCCTCTCTTTTTTCTCGAAAACCGCGGTAAATCTATGAGAAGTCGGATCTTTTGTATGAGACGTCGTTCCGTAAGGAGCTGATCGTGCTTTATTTTGACGGAAGCCGTATCTGTCTTCAAGTTTCCGTGCGATGTTTTTCGTTCAATTAGATCCTCGCGTATATCCGAAACTCGTGTAGCCTTGTACTATTCAGCGCGATCTCGTGTATCTATTTTAAGGTCCCTGTCGCATGTCGTCAATCGGAACTTTCGAAAGTAATCCTTGGAGCGACGAAGAGGTCGCGTCGCCTAATTATTTATGGTCGGTACTCACCCGCGGTGGTCAATGTCGTACCCTTTTCCGCGAGGTAATCCACCTCTTTTAGCAGTGTGCGCGCTTGAACGACCCGTATTGGGTTGCTGAAATCATCCAACACCTCGTCCCATACGTAGCGTCTCTAAAATCACGTGATTTCCAGTCACCCTCAGGAGCGATACTCGAAGTGTCGATTGTTGAAGGTCAAATCGACTCATTGTTTTTAGTCGCAGCAGGAAAGCGTTTAAATCAGAAGGAAAGCTTTAGCCGAGTTTGAAGTTGTATCGAGGGGCATAAGATGTTTTTAATTCTCAATGTTATATTGTTCCTCAGTGGATTGCACCTAATATAAGGGGTCTTGAAGGAAAAGGAGCATAAGTGCAGTTTTATAAAAAATTGAGACATAATGATCTCAAGTAAAGCTAGTTTTAATGGATATTCTGTGAAAAATTCGCTCCCGAATTCCAATTTTAAGCAT